CCATTTGAATGCAGAGTTCCAAAGAGTAGCAAGGAGAGATAAGAAAGCCTTCCTTAGTGATCAATGCAAAGAAATAGAGGAAAACAATAGAATGGGAAAGACTACAGATCTCTTCAAGAAAATCTATTAGAGATACCAAGGGAACATTTCATGCAAAGATAGGCACAATAACGGATGGAAATGGTATGGACCATTTTTGGTCCAGACCAGAAGCAGAAGATATTAAGAAGAGGTGCCAACAATACACAGAAGAACTATATAAAAAAGATCTTCATGGCCCAGATAACCACAATGGAGTGATCACTCACCTAGAGCCAGACATACTGGAATGTGAAGTCAAGAGGGCCTTAGGAAGCATCACTACAAACAAAGCTAGTGGAGTTGATGGAATTTCAGTTGAGCTGTTTCAAATCCTAAAAGATGATGCTGTTAAAGTGTTGCACTTGTTATGCCAGCAAATTTGGAAAACTCAGCAGTGGCAGGACTGGAAAAGGTCAGTTTCCATTCCAGTTCCAAAGAAAGGCAATGTCAAAGAATGCTCAAACTACTGCACAATTGCACTCATCTCACACGCTAGCGATGGAGAAGGCAATGGCAACCCACTCCAGTACTGTTGCCTGGAAAATCCCATGGATGGAGGATCCTGGTGGGCTGCAGTCCCTGGGGTCTCGAAGGGTCGGATACGACTGAGTGACTTCACTTTCACTTTTCATGCATTGGAGAAGGAAATGGCAACCCACTCCAGTGTTCTTGCCTGGAGAATCCCAGGGATGGGGGAGCCTGGTGGGCTGCCGTCTATGGGGTCGCACAGAGTCAGACACGACTGAAGCAACTTAGCAGCAGCAGCAGCAGCACACGCTAGCGAAGTAATGCTCAAAATTCTCCAAGCCAGACTTCAACAGAATGTGAACCGTGAACTTCCAGATATTCAAGCTGGTTTTAGAAAAGGCAGAGGAACCAAAGATCTGCCTCCTGAGAAATCTGTATGCAAGTCAAGAAGCAACAGTTAGAACTGGACATGGAACAACAGATTGGTTCAGAAGCAACAGTTAGAACTGGACATGGAACAACAGATTGGTTCAGAATCGGGAAGGGAGTACATCAAGGCTGTATATTGTCACCCTGCTAATTTAACTTACATGCAGAGTACATCATGGAAAATGTCAGGCTGGAGGAAGCACAGGCTGGATTAACGATTGCCGGGAGAAATGTCAACAACCTCAGATATGAAGATGACACCACCCTTATGGCTGAAAGTGAAGAGGAACTAAAGAGCCTCTTGATGAGAGTGAAAGAGGAGAGTGAAAAAGCTGGCTTAAAACTCAACATTCAGAAAACTTAAAATCATGGCATCTGGTTCCATCACTTCATTGCAAATAGATGGGGAAGCAATGGAAACAGTGACAGACTTTATTTTGGGGGGCTCCAAAATCACTGCAGATGATGACTGCAGCCATGAAATCAAAAGATGCTTGCTCCTTGGAAGAAAAGCTATGACCAACCTAGACAGCATACTAAAACCAGAGACCTTACTTTGCCAGCAAGGGTTCGTTTAGTCAAAGCTATGATTTTTCCAGTGATCATGTATGGATGTGAGAGTTGGACTATAAAGAAAGCTGAACGCTGAAAAATTGATGCTTTTGAACTGCGGTGTTGGAGAAGACTCTTGAGAGTCCCTTGGACTGCAAGGAGATCAAACCAGTCAATCCTAAAGGAAATCAGTCCTGAATATTCATTAGAAGGACTGGTGTTGAAGCTGAAACTCCAATACTTTGGGGCCACCTGATGTGAAGAACTGACTCACTGGAAAGACCCTGATGCTGGGAAAGATGGAAGGCAGGAGGAGAAGGGGATGCCAGAGAATGAGATGGTTGGATGGCATCACTGGCTCAATGGACATCTGTTTGAGCAAGCTCCGGGAGTTGGTGATGGACAGGGAAGCCTGATGTGCTACAGTCAATGGAGTCGCAAAGAGTTGGACATGACTGAGCAACTGAACTGAACTGAAAATATTCAGTTTGGCAGGAATGTGCTAGTGAAATTAGTTATAAAGGTAGGTTAGACCTAGGTTAGTGGAAAGTCTAAAAATCAAAGCTGAGCTGGATTTTGTCTCATTGGTACTATTGAAATTGTGCCCTCCTCCCCTTAAAAGGTAACTAGTTATATGTGGTGTGATTGAACAGTATAGGAATAGACTGAAGACAAGTTTTTTGATTGAAGTATAGCTGATTTATAATGTTTCAAGGGTACAGCAAAGTGGTTCAGTTTTATACATATATTCTTTTTGAGATTATTTTCCATATAGGTTATTGCAAGATACTGAATATAGCTCTTTTGTACAGTAGGTCCTTGCTGTTTACTTTGTGTGTAGTATTGCAGATGGTGTTGCAGCCATGAAATCAAAAGATGCTTACTCCTTGGAAGGAAAGTTATGACCAACCTAGACAGCATATTAAAAAAGCAGAGACACTACTTTGCCAACAAAGGTCCGTCTAGTCAAGGCTATGGTTTTTCCAGTAGTCATGTATGGATGTGAGGGTTAGACTATAAAGAGAGCTGAGTGCCAAAGAATTGATGCTTTTGAACTGTGGTGTTGGAGAAGCCTCTTGAGAGTCCCTTGGACTGCAAGAAGATCAAACCCAGTCCATCCTAAAGGAGATCAGCCCTGGGTGTTCATTGGAGGGACTGATGTTGAAGCTGAAACTCCAATACTTTGGCCACCTGATGCGAAGAGCTGACTCATCTGAAAAGACCCTGATGCTGGGCAAGATTGAGGGCAGGAGGAGAAGGGGACGACAGAGGATGAGATGGTTGGATGGCATCACCGACTCAATGGACATGGGTTTGGGTAGGCTCTGGGAGTTGGTGATGGACAGGGAGGCCTGGCATGCTGCAGTCTGTGGGTCGCAAAGAGTCGGACACGACTAAGCGACTGAACTGAACTGTATATATCTGTTAATCTCAAATTCCAAATTTATTAACACCTCACTCAAGGAAGGTTAGTTTAAGTCTGAGAATGTTGCTTTGAGGTGCTAGCATTTGATTGCAGAAATACAGTAGACAGTTGGAAAGCTACCAAAGCCTAAGATTTGGGAATCTCTTGCAAAGCAGTTTTTGAATCCTTGAGTTAGCAAAGAAAGAGTTGAGAGAGTGCATGGAGAAAGAAAGGAAATGGAGAGCAGATTCTTCAGTTCAGAGCAGATTCTTGGGAAATAGCTATTTTTGGAGGATAGAAAGTAAAACCAAAGGAAGAACAAAAGCCAGTAGGAGAACCAAGAGAGGATGACACTGGAGAAACTAAGGAAAGACATTTTCAGGAGGACATAGGATTCAAACTGTTTATTCCAAAAAGATCTTTGGTGTAACTTTGTAATATGTGTATTTTCTATCATATATGTTACTCTGCTGTACTGTTTAGCATAGTTCTTTACACATAGTTCTCAGCTAATTTAGCACATCTTAAGGGAATCAGGACTCTCTCTTGCTTATCTTTAAAGATTAACATTTGCAAAATGTTACATAAATATTAAGGTTTAGTGCATTGTGCAGTCTGGTGTCCTGCTGAAAACTTGTGGAAATCATTGGGAATAATTTGTGCTTTGCAGATTTTCTATCATATTATCTGTGATATACATATCTCAGTAGTCTCTGTGTGTGTTTCCTGTTTACTAAAATAGTAACTGTCCTAACCAGCAACAATTGAAGGCTCTCAAAGTACCAAGAGGAAAACAATTACTGGAGTTTAGGGATTGGATAAGTGATTGTGTTTTTCAACTTACTTACTTGAACTTTCAACTTGAGCTATTTGGCATATGAATTATTTTAGACTGACTTCAATGAATATTGATTTTATCACTTTTTCGGTGCTTTCAGAAATAGGAAAACTAGAAAGAGTAAAACTTGATACAAGTGCTAGAAGACAGATACCAGAAAACTGAAGCTGATTTGATGAAAAGCTGATTAGAAAGATTTCAGAAGTATTTTGCAGAAAAGTTAGGGCTGCAGGGACTTGGTGCAGCATTTTATCCAGGAAGGACAAAGATGGGACCAATGGTGAAAAGAAATATCTGTGTTAAAGAGAATTTTGAGGCAATAAAATTGATCATGGATTGACTTGAAATTTTATTGTCTACTTGTATGACAAGAATTGACTTTTTAATACATAAATACTAATTATTGAGGCAAGGGAAAATAGGCAACTGTAATAGTAGCTGATTTGGTGAATAGCAATATCTAAGACATCTGTATCTTGTTCTGTAGCAGTACCGTTAAAGATTACCGAGATAATCTGATTTAAGTACACACCTGAAAGTAGAGACATCATCTGGTGTGTTGAACTGGTACTTTATAACCACAACCATTAAACAGAGGTTGTCAGGCTAAAGTTAACTTGTTAAAATATAGTAGTAGCATGTGCACTTATTTAGAAATTTTTACATGGTTTGGATTTTAGCTTTTAGTTTTTGATAAAGAAAAAGAAGTTCCTTAAAGAGGAAAACTTCTCTTTTATGTCTGATTAGTGAAAATATTTGTTCTGGATATTTAAATAGTCCTCTTTATTGAGGATTTTTAATTTAGATGAGTTGGGATAATTTAAACATCCAGATTAGTTTATGCAAAGCAGGAAATAATATATTTTGTTTTTCTAACATCTCTTTTGTGAGTGAATGGTTATAGCAGTGTACAACTTCTTACACTTTTTGGTTGAGTCCTCTTTTACCTATCAGCCTAAAAAAGGTAGATTTGTTCATAGAAGTTTATGCTGTTATTAGGCCTGATTAATTTAAGATTAAAGGTCTTGAAATAGATTACTGTTAAAATTCTTTTTTTCTTATTTACCTGTTAATGCCTATCTGAATGGAGGGAAAGGAGTGGACTTTAGTGAATGCAACAGTCTTAATTGCATTATAATCACAAACCTGGTGTAGTGGATTCAGCACAATTAAAATAAAAATAATTGTATGTGCTCATTTAACCATTGCACTTCTGATCGTTTTTAGGCGAAACCTGACCAAATTGTCCCTGATCTTCAGCCACATGCTGGCAGAACTAAAAGGAATCTTCCCAAGTGGACTCTTTCAAGGAGACACGTTTCGGATTACTAAAGCAGATGCTGCAGAATTTTGGAGGAAAGCTTTTGGGGAAAAGTAAGTGTCAAAATAATGAATTTGAACTATGAAGAACTCAAGCTTGTGTTTTGGGTTTTTGTTTAGTTTGAAACAGAAAAATAATGAATATATGCGTAACTACTCCCAACTTTGGTAAATATTAACCTAGTTTTTCTTTTTTTTGCTCTGATCATTTTTTTTTTTTCCTTAAAGAAGTAGATAGACCTTTGCAATTCTGTTGAAACCCATGCTGTTCTCTTTTTTTCCTCATCCATTATGCTGTTAATGAACACATACATTTCAAATCATTTGCTGTTGCAAACAGTGCTGCAGAAAACAAAATTGTATTTACCTTCATATGCAGGAGTTTCTCAATACTTAAATACTTAGGAGTGGGATTGCTGAGTCAGGGGATTTCACATCTTCCGCTTTGCCAAACATTGCCTAACTGCTTTCCAAAGTGGTTGTACCAGTTTCTGTTCCTGTAAGTAGTATGCACGTGTTCCAGTAGCTCTGCAATTTGGCTAACACTGATAATATGAATTGGTATCGTATTTTGCTTTATATTCCTAATGACAAGGGAGCTTGAGTACCTTTTCACATTTGTCACCTGTCTAGATTCTTTTTCTGACTTGGCTGTTTCTATTTCTGACTTGTCTATTTTCCTATAGACTTGTCTTTTTCCTGTTGTAGGATACTAATTCTTTGTTAGTCACTAACATTAGAGATGTCTTCTCCTAGTCTGTGGCTTGTGTTTCCACTTTGCTATATTGTTCTTTTTTTTAAAAAAGACTTTTTATTTGGCTGTGCTGTGTCTCTGCTGTTGCACAGGCTTTTCTCTAGTTGCTGCAAGCAGGGGCTACTCTCTAATTGTGGTGGCATAGGCTTCTCATCGAATGGCTTCTCTTGTTGCGGAGCACAGGCTCTAGGACATGAGGGCTTCAGAAGTTCAGGTTCCCGGGCTCTAGAGCACAGGCTCAGTAGTTCTGGCGCAGGGACTCAGCTGCTCCACGGCATGTGGGATCCTCCTGGAATAGGAGCAAGGATTGAACCCATGTCTCCTGCATTAGCAGGTAGATTCTTTACAACTGAGCCACCAGGGAAGCCCATGATTTAAGTCAAGTTTTTGTTTCTAAGTATTAATATAAATGTTCTTGAATATACTCTGAAATTTTAAATCACAGAACTGAAAAAGTAGAAAGCAATAAAATTTTTCAGTTGAATATACAGATCCTAATGTAAGCCTCTCTTTGAATGCCTTTTTTTTTAATTGCAGTATAGTTGATGCAAACTGTTAAGTTAGTCTCAGGTATATACTGCGTCTTGATTTGATGTATGTTAAATGCTTGCTTTATTTTAAAAAGTTGTGTTTAAACATCAGATATAGAATAATTAGCGATTTTAAAAAACCTAGTTGAAGAGGATAGGCATGAGTTTAACTTTGTTACTTTAACTTAGTAACTATCTACTTTAGAAAAGAGTTTGAATTGCCACTTGATCTCTTACTTTCAGGCAGGTGAATACATAAAGGCATGTAAATAAAAACAAAATGAGATTTTATTTTATTTATTTTTAAATCTTGAGAAATAGAAATCGCACAGTACCCTTTGCTAGCCACATCTGGAGTTTAATCATTCTTTTGTTAAATAATTTCTTCTTCATCTGTATCAGAACTCTTTTCTTCCTGTACCTTAAGCTTTATATTCCTCAAGTTTAGTCCTTGATAGTGTGGGTTCCTCAGAAGAATCAGAGTGTTTTATGTGCTTTTAAAAGGTTAGTTTAAACACACTATGTGAATGAAGATCTGGCCACAGGTTACATCTCTAATACTAAAAGGATAATCTCATCTCTCTTCATGCTTCTCTAATACAACAAATATCTGAAGGTGAGAAAGGGAATTAACTTGTGGCATTCTGCCAAAGAAAAGTGGGAAAAGATGTCTCTATTATTAATTTACTCATTAGCAAGTTAAGAAACATATCATTTATACCATTTCTATTATCAATGTAAAATATAATTCAGTTTCTCTAAGAAAATTAAAGTGGATTTTGAGAATTTAAAGAGACTGTGTTTTCCTTGACTGTAGTAGTGCCTGGAGTTACCTGCTGTCTTATTCTGTGCCTTCTCTCCCACCCCCACCCGCATCCTAGGACAATAGTCCCTTGGAAGAGCTTCAGACAGGCCCTTCATGAAGTACATCCCATCAGTTCTGGGCTGGAAGCCATGGCTCTGAAATCCACTATTGATCTGACCTGCAATGATTATATTTCAGTTTTTGAATTCGACATCTTTACAAGACTCTTTCAGGTAGGATGCTAAAATGTTGGCTGAACTAATTATTGCCACTTTTCTGAAGGGAAACCTTTTGAAAAAATAACATTTGGACATTTGGGAGTTTGCCTTTTATAAAAGTATTTTTATTCTAGAAACTATAGTTTAAAAAAAGGTTAAAACTACTCTGTATTTTATATTTATATAGATATTTGTAAAAAGAGTAACTATATAATCTGCTTATTCCCCTCATATTTATAATCTTTCTTTTTTTATTAAATATTCTTTTTTACATCATTTTTTTTTTCTTTGCATCATTTTAATGGTTGTATTTTACCCTAAAAGTGGGTATAATATACTTCCTGGGTTCAGTTACTGGACATTTATGTATGTTTCCAGCTTTTTCTCCTGTGGTATTAAAATTCTTGACTAATATTGAGATGCATTGATGGTTTGCAACTTCTTTCCTTTTCTAAAAATAATGTGTGTATATGCTACCTTGCATAAACCTTTATTTGGAACTTACTTGCACATCAGGCCTTGCCCTGTTTTCTCTGTTTTTGTCTGTTTAACCTCTGAGGCCGATTGTATGTTTGGAGCCAGATGGTCTGATTGAATCTCTTGTTTCCTTAGCCTTGGTCCTCTTTGCTCAGGAACTGGAATAGCCTTGCTGTAACTCATCCTGGTTACATGGCTTTCCTGACATATGATGAAGTGAAAGCGCGACTCCAGAAATTCATTCACAAACCTGGCAGGTCAGTGGAATGAAGCAAAGAAGTTTATTCACCTGAATTTTATTCTGTGACCTTTGCTGAAAAGGAGGAAACATGATCTTTTACTAGTTCCCCAGTGGCCACATTTCTGTGCTAGGATTGTCTGTTTATCAGAGGAATTGACTTATTCAGATACTATGATTTGATAAATGCTTTCAAGCCACTTAAGAATTAAGCTTTTGTGTCTTTTACTTTTGATGTGAAGTCATTGAAAAGTCTATTATTGATGGTCTTTTTGATTTTTGTCTCTGTGTCATCTTCCACCCTACTGCAAGCATATGTAATCAAGGTTTTATTTCTCTCTGTTTTCAGTTACATTTTCCGGCTGAGCTGTACTCGTCTGGGTCAGTGGGCTATTGGGTATGTCACTGCTGATGGGAACATTCTCCAGACAATCCCTCACAATAAACCTCTCTTCCAAGCGTTGATTGATGGCTTCAGGGAAGGCTTGTGAGTACCTACTGTTTATCATCTGTTAGGGTCTAGGAACTTAGGACTGTGAAACTGAATCATTAATGACTTTATTCCAGGTTTCCTCTACAGGTTAAGATTCAGGAAACATATTAACAACTTATATTGTTTGAATTTTCAACTTCTGTAGGACTTCTGTTATTATTTAAAAAGGATTCCTTGAGTGAAATTATTTTTGCCTCTTACTGTTTCCATTGTTACCCTGAGTAGATTTTATCTTTCTTTTTTTCCACATGTTAACTTATTTTCAGGTCTATATTAGATTTTAAAATATACAGTACTTTTGAAACACAGGGGCCTCCCCTAGAGCTCAGCAGGTAGAGAATCTGCTTGCAGTGCAGAAGACACAGGAGACACGGGTTTGATCCCTGGGTTGGGAAGATCTCCTGGAGAAGGAAATGGCAGCCCACTTGTCTGGAGAATCCCATGGACCGAGGTGCCTGGTGGGCTAAAGTCCAAAGGATCACAAGGGGTCTGAGTGAGCGACTACAACACTGACAGCATCAGTATTGTCCTCCATACACTGATATTCTTTCTCCAGGGCACAGTGCCACAGGCTCTATTTTAATCAAGGGGTTGATAAGCTTTTTTTGTGAAGGGCCAGATAGTAAATAGTTCTTCAGTCTTTGCAAACCACATAAGTCTGTGTCACTTGGTGGTGCAGTGGTTAAGAATTTACTTTGCAGTGCAAGGGACACGGGTTCGATCCCTGGTTAGGGAACTAAGATCCCACATGCTGCAGAGCATCTAAGTCAGCATGCTCCAGCTAAAGATTTCAGTGCCACAGTAAAAGCTCCCTCATGGGCTGCAGTTAAACCTGACTCAGCCAAATAAATAAGGAGGTAAATATTGTTTAAAATATATATTTCTATACCAATTAGCAGAAAATGTTACCAGTTATTTGACTAGGCACAGTTAGGATGACTTAGATGTTCCTGATGGCAGCAGGCCCAGTGGCCTTCATCCTAACTTCATTTTAATTGAGCAGAATTTCTTCAGGCTATGGGTTTTTGTTATCTCTGCTAATATTTATGACTTAAGTTCCTATTTATTCCAGAATTCATATTCCTTTGGGAATTCAAATTGATTATCAGTTGGTAAGCACTAAAAATACTAACAGTTGACCAGGTATGAGAAAACTACATGTGTTTTAAAGTGATTAGGAAAATCCATTTTCCATTACACATCATTTTCTACAGTAATGTTAGAACTGAAAGGGGTACTTCACCAGATGTCAGAGCAGTTTGATGCTAGAAGCTTCCTGGTAGTTGATCTCAGTGGCTTAATTTGCTTCTTGTTACTTTTCTTTCAAATTGGTGTCTCTTAGTGTTAAATCTGTAAACAAGGGTGTTTTAAGGTCTTTGGTTGAAGCCAGTGTCATTTTTTTAAATTGAGAATTCACACTTTAATCTGTGGTCATCCACAGATAAAAATAGTTGGTAAATTGTGGTGCACAGACTAGGTCTTTTAGTCTGTGTCTAAGATAGTTTTTCCTTTTCAGAATGTTGTTTTAAAAAAAACCTAAAGAAGAATATGTGACACAGACTTATGTGGCTTGCAGAGCCTGAAACATTTACTAACTGGCCCTTTACAGGAACAGCTTGTCAACCCCTTGATTAAAATAGAGCCTGTGACACCCTGGATAAAGAATATCAGTGTTTGAAGAGTATCTTCTTAGAACTGATCTGTGTTATTTAATTTTTTTGAAGTACTAATAAAATTTCTCTTTACACTTCTCTTAAATTACCCTTTTAGAGTGAGAGAATTCCTAGATAACATTTGTCTGTACTAGTAAGCAGTGATAAATTGGCTTCAGATTGGTTACTCTTTTTACAGCTATTTGTTTCCTGATGGACGGAATCAGAATCCCGACCTGACAGGCTTATGTGAGCCAACTCCTCAAGACCACATCAAAGTGACCCAGGTGAGTTTTGTTTTCCATTTTAATCATATTGTTAGACCCAAGCTTCTGTATATTACTCTGTAGAACTGACAGAATTATATTAAGTGATTGGAACATTTAAACTTTTAAACCATTGACTAGAATAGTGAATTTACGTGTGTGTGGTCTCTTTTTAAACCCTGCTTCTTAAAATAGGACCAAGACTAGGTGCTTTCTGTTTTACCTGTTCACTGTTGTGACATTCTGTTTCCAGGCAAAGATTAGTATTACAAGTAACTATCTTCAGTTTTCCTATTTTTAGCTATATAGTTGCAGTCATTCATTCATTCATTCAACAAATATTTGTAGCAGACTGAATAATCTCTTTTTCTTTTTTAATCAAAGGAGCAATATGAATTATACTGTGAGATGGGCTCCACATTCCAACTGTGTAAAATATGTGCTGAGAATGATAAAGATGTGAAGATTGAGCCCTGTGGCCACCTCATGTGCACATCCTGTCTAACATCCTGGCAGGTATGGATCCAAATGATGCTTTTTCTCAGCTCAATAATCACAGTGAAGAATTGGGGGTTGTATATCCTTTATGGATATAAAGAATGGTCTGGTTTGTGGGGTAGGTTCTAAACTTCTGGTGCTTTTTTCATTTTTAGGTAGTGTGTTCTTAGTGGATGAATATTTTAAGAACTTTCAGATGTGTCTGTCACCATCTCCTGTTTCCTTTGTAGGAATCAGAAGGCCAGGGCTGTCCTTTCTGCCGATGTGAAATTAAAGGTACTGAGCCCATTGTGGTTGATCCCTTTGATCCTAGAGGAAGTGGCAGTCTGTTGAGGCAAGGAGCAGAGGGAGCTCCCTCCCCAAATTATGATGATGATGATGATGAACGAGCTGATGATTCTCTCTTCATGATGAAGGAATTGGCTGGTGCCAAGGTAAGTCTACAATTTAATAGACTGTGGCAAAATCTTACCATCAGCTGTGTCCTAAAGCAGTAGAACACTTAACAACATCTAAAATACAAGGAGTAATAATAGCTAATATTTATTGAACATTTACCATGTGAAAGAGAACCATGCTAAATACTTGACTGCTTTAATTCATAATCCTATACTTACCTATATTCATGTAACCCTATGAGTAGATGCTATTATTATCCTCATTCAGCAATTGAAGAAATCAAGGAGCAATGAGGTTAAGGAATTTGCTGAAGGTCACACTACTAGTAAGTTGAGCCAGAATCTGTGGCCAGGCATCCCGCCTTCCAGGCCCATGCTCTTACTCTCTGTATCCTAGAAGTGGGTTCTACTCAGATAGCTTGGTGGAGAAAATGAAGGGGGAGTAAAAGAATTGGACCGTGTCTTGCTACTGTGACTAGAATATTTTCTCCTTGTTTTTTTCTCTAGTGGAGTCTTGGCAATGGAAAGTTAGGTTTAGGCAGGAGAAACGAGGCCTTGTTAACAAATAAATGGCAACTAAAGTGATTGGAGGGTGGTAGGAGGTACCATACAGAGACTAAACAAACTTGAAAGGCCCTCGTAAAGATAGGAAAGGTAAAGGCCAAGAAAGGATGTGACCAGATTCTGTTACATCAGTGGTAGGATAAAACAGGTTTATTCGCTAATTCAAAGTAAGGCAGTCACCAAAGATTTTAATAAATATAGGGTAGACAAAGGTTCTAATATGCTGTCAGTTCTTTAGTTTCGGCTGTTACAACTTTGATAGGAGGCATTTTTTGATACAGAAGAATCTTTCTTTTATATCAGCACCCAACTGCCTGGTACATGGTAGGTCCTCAATAAATACTGAGAAGATGGGTTGGATTCTCTTCAATGATTGTGTCCAGTTTGTCTCTTCTTCTCTGTCCTCAATGCCACTGCCTTATTTCAGGCTCTCAGAAGCGTAGGTTCTCCCTGTTTCCAGAGTCATTGATCTACAACACACACCTTGATCGTCTCTTCCTTTGCCTCATGCTCTTTAATGACTTCTCATTACTTAACGGGTTAGTAAGTACATTCTCTGTTCTAGGCACTTTGCCCTGATAATCCTTTCACTTTGTTTTGTGGAAGCTGAATCATCAAAGATTTCTCCATGCTTTTGTCTTGATAGTTTCTATGTAATTCAGCTCAGTTTTCATATCCTGAGAAATCTTTCTAGATGATACCCTGCTTCTCCTACCCCTAACTCACACATATTTACCCAAATATAATCTAGGTCTGGCTAAGTGTTTCTGGGATACTGTGAAATGTCTGCCATAGAATGTCTGCCACCTGGTAATAATTTATTAAAAGTATTTCCTGGAAATTCCATGGCAGTGGTTAGAGTTCCTTGCTTCCACTACTGGGTTTGATCCCTTGTTGGGTAACTGAGATCCCACACACCATGTTGTGTGACCAAAAAAATAATCATTTCCCATTAGTTCCTAGAAGGCAAGAGTCACCTCTCATTTGTAATTGGCTATTCACAATTGAGCACATAGTAATTGCTTTGGATGTTTGGGAATTAAAAACACATTGAAACAGGAATTGATAAATGTATCTATGCTATATGGATAGTTGAAGAAATTTGGACTGTTTGAGTAGTACAATTTTAATTTTTTGAAGCTGACCCTTATGGGCGTTCTTTTGCAAGTCTGTCTGTAGGGTGAATTTCTGACAGTCGGATTGCTAGATAAGAGTATATCCATTTAATCTCTTTGAGAGAGGAGAGGGATATAATTAGTGGTGGGGCATATGGGAATTTCAGAAAGCAATGGTATTTCATTTTTTAGCTGAAAGGTAGGTTCTATGTGAATGTTTCATCTTATTCTTTGTACCTTATAGTTCATTATCTACTTTGTATGGATAAAATATTGGAGTAAAAATGTTTCTTTTTTTGGATAGACGTTAAAATTTATTACCCGTATTTTTTGTCCTAAGGTCACTCCTAAAGTATATGTGACTATGAGAGTACCTGCTTTGTCACATCCCAGTAGCTTGTTGTTTTGTTGCTTAATTTTGATTTGTTTTTAAAATAGTGAATCTACTTTAAAAAATATCCTTGTGATAAATACAGATGATTTTTTTGTTGTTGTTTAAAGTTTAATAGAATTGCTAAAACTGTCGGTTATCTACTTCCATCTCCTCCAGCTCCTGTGTCCCATTCAGATTTTTCCATTCGTAAAGCTGTTCCTTAGCCACAGGCTATACTGCTTTCTCCTGATTTTTCGATGTTAGTTAAGTTTAGAAAAGGATTTAAATCTCTTATCTTCCTCCTTCCTACTCCCTAACTTCCGACTGTAGTTAATTGGAATGTTTTTTGGTTCAGTCAGTATGCAGTGTTTAAATGAGTTTTGCTCCCTATTGTTTCAAGTAATATACTATAATGTGATTACTTTTGCTTTGTTTTACAACCTTCCACTTTTCTGAAATAATTGATTTGTTTTTATTTCCTTAGTTTTCAGTTCGTGCCTGTCACTATCAAACATCCTCTTGATATAATTTTCTCTGGAGTAAATTCTATGCATGTATTAATAAAGTAGATGTTATGTAATGTAGTATACTGATGTATGGGAGTCTGTCATGTTTTGGCTTCAGTGTAGACTGGTTTTTCACTGGGTGTGCTGCATTCTGTCACCCTGTGGTCTTTCCTCGCCATCATCATGGGACTTCATTGCCTCTCATCTGTGTTGGATTTCGTAACTCCCATGTTTTTCTGTTTCTTTCTTTAACTTCCTTGTTTGAGTAGAGTATGCCCTCAAAATAGCTTTCTGTGAAAAGGTGAGAGGTGAAATTTTTGAGACATCTGATATCTTAAAAATGTCTTTATTCAGCCCTCAAGCTGACTAAATATAGACTTACTGGGTTAAAAGAACACTTCACCTCTGAATTGTTACAGCCTCAGTGACTTCTAGTTTCCAGCATATTTTTGCTCTTTGGTGCCTCTTTTCTCTCTGTCCTCAGAAGCCTTAGACTATTTTCTTTATCTTTGATTCCCTGAAAACTTAAGGATGTTGTTGTTTGGCTGGTTATGGGTTTCTTTTCTTTCTTTGGGCTACCTATGTAATGAACACTTTCTATATGGATATTTATATCCCTTAGGTCTTGCAAATACTCTTTTTTTTTTTTTTGTAATTTCTTCCTCGTATATGCTTTTATCCTTTTCAGAAACTTTATTATATGTTGAGATAAAAGAACATTTTAGGGATTGGTTATGATATTAAGGCATGAATTGAAGAATATGATTGATTAGCTCAACCCTCTGCCCTTTAGGGATGAGAAGGAGGGATGGATGGTGGAGGGTAGATCAAAATAGGCAGAGAGGGCCTTCCAACTGAGAAACAACTTGAAGAAAGTTAAGGAGGTAGGAATTCCAAAATAGAGAATTAGAGAAAACGCTATTGGTTAGGGAGACCAAATTAGACTTGTGAAAGCCAGGCAGGAAAGTGACATTTTATGACATGGGAAAGTAGGAGTTACTGGTGGATGGTTTTTGAGCTAGTGAGGATTTAAGGATGGTTAAGCTGGTAATGGTGAGCAAAATGATTTAGTGACATAAGAAACTAGAAAGCTGGGAGAATCGTTAGAAGGTGGTTTTGATAAATTAGGTCTGAGGTTGGTAAGTAGAATGGAAAGGAAAATATAGATATGCCATTCTTTTGTGGAAAAATAACAAGATACAGTGAAAGAAAGTGAAGTTACTCAGTCTGACTGTTTGCGGCCCCATGGACTATAGCACTCCAGGCTCCTCTGTCCATGGGATTTTCCAGGCAAGAATACTGGAGTGGGTTGCCATTTCCTTCTCCAGGGAGTCTTCCTGACCCAGGGATGGAACCTGGGTCTACCCGCATTGTAGGCAGACGCTTTACCGTCTGAGTGAGCCACCAGGGAAGATACAGTGACTGACTTAGATATTGATGATAGAGGGGGAGTAAGTGTGACTTTTCACTTTCTTAACCCTTGAGATGTTGCGCTGCTCACGCTTCATTGACGTGGAGGCCATGTTCTTAAGCGTGAGTCAGAGCAAGTAACCTGTAATGCAGGCTTTTTCCCTTGTTCCCATCCTGGCATTAATGATAGAACTTAATATGGAGATGATTGTTTTTCTCTCATTTTACATAAGTGCTTGTAATACATATTTGCCTATTTTCCATCTGTTTTGCTTTCAGGAAATGCAAAGTAGTATTTTGTATAAATTCTCGTATATCTCTTGACAGCCTACTTGGACAAGCTTATCAGCTATTCATCACCCTGCTGTGGGCAGGGAAATGGAAAAGGTTATACGTTTATTTGTTTCTTTTGATTTGGCACAATTTTCGGAATACAAATTGACAAAAATATCATCCCTTTTAATTACTCAATTGAAATAACATTTCTTTGGAAGAACACAAGATGCTTTTTAATAATACCATCGATCACTTTATCTTATAAATCTTTTTTTCTTTGAATCATAACAACCTCTGGAGAGTTTATTTACTTTGATTTCTTTCTTCATTCTGTTCCTTAAGCATTATTTTCCTAAATGATTTGTTGAGAGATTAATGTGTATCCCTTTCTTTTAGTCAACTTTCTTTTTTTAAACTTGAAAAGAATTTTTTTTAATCTTGAATTTTTTTCTTCTGAAGATTAAGAGATGGGAAATTGTAAAGTTTTTTAAAATTATAAGCTTGGAAGCTTTTTACAGCACAGTAGTTTCTAGATAGAAGCTTTGTAGCTTGTATCTATGATAATTTTGTGATTGAGAGCGCCCTCTTATGGTAACATAAAAATAATTCAGAAAGTGCTTCCGTAAGCCAAAGTCAGGCTCATTGCTATATTCACTGTTCATATTGTACTTGTTTACATCTTTAGGAGTTGAGAGTTACCCCTTCTCCAAACAAGAATAACCTATTAGGAAATTGTTACTTGTATTAGGTGGAACGACCTCCTTCTCCATTCTCCATGGCCCCACAAGCTTCCCTTCCCCCAGTGCCACCACGACTTGACCTTCTACAGCAGCGAATATCTATCCCTTCAAGTGCTTCTGGTCTTGGAACTGCTTCTAAGGTAAAGCATTATCCATTTCTGCAGTTTTTTCTGATTCTTTTTTGTGGATTAGTGGAATTTGATTGCTTCCATCATGCTTCCATAGGCTCCTCCTGGCTCTCTTCATAAGGACAAACCATTACCAATACCTCCCACTCTTCGAGATCTTCCACCGCCACCTCCTCCAGACCGGCCGTATTCTGGTGGAGCAGAAACCCGGCCTCAGAGACGCCCCTTGCCTTGTACACCGGGTGACTGTCCATCCAGAGACAAACTGCCCCCTGTCCCCTCTGGCCGCATTGGAGAAGCGTCATGGCTACATCGGCCAATCCCCAAAGTACCAGTAGTTGCCCCAAACCCTAGTGACCCCTGGACAGGGAGAGAATTAACCAACCGGCATTCACTTCCATTTTCATTGCCCTCACAAATGGAACCCAGAACTGATATGCCTAGGCTCGGAAGCACATTCAATCTGGATACCTCCATGGTAAGTCCTCATTTTGAAATTATTTATCTTAGTAACAAATATTTGTGGATGACATTGATGGGGAATGTTTATGTTTTGTACTGGATTCAGAGATAATATAATCCCTATTTTCAAGAAGTATATCTGTTAATATGTTTATAAATGCAATAAGCATATTTCTGCCATGAATTGTATGAAGAGAAAACACTTTAATTTTAGAGAAAGAAAAGATTATTTCCAGATAGAGCAATCATGAGGGCTTTATAAGAGTGGCATCTGAATTTGAAGTATTCTTTCCAAAGTGGATACTGTTTTAAGATAGACTACAATGACAGAAATGCTTAAGATGTATTGTGGAATAAGAAGTGTTTAATTTGAGAAGAGGAGAAGTTTTGTGTATCAGAGTAGGAAAGGGGGCTAGAAAGGAACATTGTTGCTAGATTAGAGGGCACCCTCCCAGAAGAATTGGAATTTATTTGGTATAAATGAAGAGTACATGAAGATTAAATTAGTGCAGTAATGTGACCAAAATGATGGCTTAGAGAGAGGAATCTTAAAAAAAAAAAAAAGAGGAATCTAGGAATAGTATGCAGAATGGATTAGCAAGAGAATGGATTGAAAAAAGACAGGTTAGCAGTCCATTGGATAAGCAGGAGATAAGGGATAGAATTGGGGGTGGGAGAGGTGTATTCATTCTTTTGTTGGTTCTTTTTTTTTTTTTTTCTTTTTGTTGTTTCTTTATGCACTCAGCAAAAAATCTTGCCCTCAAAAAATTTACATTCTACTGGAGGAAGGATGGAAAATAAATAAGATAAACTATAAAATATAAAAAGTTTTGGATGCTGATGAATGCTGTGGAAAAACATAGGGTGAAAACGGTGTAGAGAAAGCTGGATTTGGGATGGGGAGGTACATGAAGGGATGACATACATTTCTGAGCAAAGACTTGGAGCAACATGGGGTGGAGGGAAAGCAGATGAGTTTGGGAGAGTCTGTGGTTGTAATCACAGAGGGGCCCCACATAGCTGGTACAGGGTAAATGAGAGGGAGACTCCTGGTCCAGGAACAGAACGGGAAGCCTGGTTAGGTAGAGACTTCAGGGAGCATGGAACAAAGACCCAGTGAGTCTTGAAAGCGGTTGGTGGAAAAAAGGATGAGAGGTCGCGTGTACATATATACGCATATGCACACACTGCAGAGGTTTTTAACCTGGCTAACTAGGGATAGACATGTTGAATTTGACACTAGCCATTAAAGGAAGAATTGGCCAGTGGGTAGTTACAAACCCAAGAAGAAGATGGAATTGGAGGGTGAAGTTGAGAAATGCTGTGGTCCTTAAATGAACTATGCATTTCATGGTTGAAAGGGAAAGGGGAAGGTAACTTAGCATTTAAGTGGCATTTATGGTATAGGCAGTCAATTAGTGAGAGCGGATTAGGTTTGACTTTCAGTGGCATTAATATAGAAAAATATGTAGATTTTTAAAGCTAGAATGGTAATTGTGCAGACAGCCAGTTTCCTCAGATCTTTCTAGAATTAAAACAAACAAAAAAACCCCCTCATTTCATTGCCTCATTTTTAGATATACCCTCCCTAACCCTTATATTTGAACCTTCAACTATACTTTTGTCACATATAATAAGCCCAAAGCATGGCATTGAGGATGAGGTCTCTGTCTATATGACTGTTCTTGTTATTTTGAATAGATTAAATAAGAGGAGATGCTTAGCTATATTAAGAACTTTTTTTTTTTAAACTCTCTTCTTTCCAGAATATGAATAGCAGCCCATTAGCAGGTGCAGAGTGTGAGCATCCCAAAATCAAACCTTCCGCATCTGCCAATGCCATTTATTCTCTGGCTGCCAGGTAAGTTTACTAAAACTGTATTTCATACAGTGGAGTTGATACTTTCAAACAACTTGTTTATAGGAAATTTAGAAAACCCAGAGGGTTGTAAAGAAGAAAATAAAAATTGACCTGTATTTCTATTATGTAAAAATTATCATGTATTGGACTGTTTCTTTCCATTATTTTCTCTGTGTATATGTACATAGTAGGAATGCAAAAGTAGGAAGTCAAGAGATATCTGGAGTAATAGGCAAGTTTGGCTTTGGAGTAAAAATGAAACAGGGTAATTAAAGGCTAAGAGAGTTTTGTCAGGAGAACACACTGGTCATAGCAAACATCCTCTTCCTACAATACAGAATGAGAAGGAACTTTGAGACCTTCTTAAAAAAAAAAAGCAAAATAAGGTACAATGTGGAGTGTATTGTGGGAAACTTACATATAGGCAGTATTGGGCAGACAACCATCCAGAGGCACTTGGAGCTGCACTGCACGTCACTGAAAGGGGAACAAGAGAGTATAAAGGGGCTAAAGCTGAAGATAGAAATCTGACTCCTAAAGGAGAAGTGTGTCTGCAGCAATAGGAACCGGGTGGGGTGAGCTGGGGGGAGAATATCTTGCCATTATTCCTTACAGACCATTAATCTATGTCAGCTGAAGGTATTCCTCGAGTTTTCATGTCAGATGAAACAAAGGTAAAAGTTGATAGGAAACTCACCTGGCTTGGGCATATTCCTTGTGAGTAGGCTAAAGCCCAGTCACAGAGAAGGGGAAGGCGTGGGACTGCAGGTGTAAGATGGAGCTCACAGAATGGAGCCAGTATGGTTTCAGCTACATAGTTATTCAGGAGTGTATCATTTAATTTCCACAGTTTGGGGACTTTTCAGTGTTACTTTTTTTTTTAATTGATTTGTAACTTTATCTGTTGTGATTAGAGAAAATATTTTGTATGATATTTTAAAAAATCTATTGAGACTTAGTTTGTGGCCTAACATAACATATTGTCCATCTGTAAGGTGTCCTGTTTGTACATGAGAAGAGCGTGTGTGCTATTAATGTTGAGTAGAGGTTTTTTGTGTTTGTCCATTACATCTAATTGGTTTATTGTATTAAGTCCTTTGTTTCTTTACTTATCTTATATTTGATTTTTGTGTCCATGATTATGAGTGGGGTGTTAAAATCTCCAGTTGTTATTGTAGAGCTGTCTGTTTCTCCCTTCAGTTCTGTCAGGTTTTGCTTCATATATTGATATTTTGATGGTCTGTCATTAGGTGTATCAGTTCAGTTCAGTTCAGTCGCTCAGTTGTGTCCGACTCTTTGTGACCCCATGAACCGCAGCACGCCAGGCCTCCCTGTCCATCACCAACTCCCAGAGTCCACCCAAACCCATGTCCATTGAGTTGGTGGTGCCATCCAACCATCTCATCCTCTGTCATCCCCTTCCCTTCCTGCCCTCAATCTTTCCCAGCATCAGGGTCTTTTCCAGTGAGTCAGCTCTTCACATCAGGTGGCCAAAGTATTGGAGTTTCAGCTTCAACATCAATCCTTCCAGTGAACACCCAGGACTGATCTCAGGTGTATAAATGTTTATAATTGTTAAATCTTCCAGTTTATATAATGTTCTTTGTCCCTTGTAACCTTTTTTGACTGAAAGTCTGTTGTGTCTGAATGAATATTAACATAGCTCCCTCCTCCCCGCACCCCTTTGGTTACTATTTGCACAGAATAACTTAACCCATCCTTTGACTTTCAGCCTGTTTGTGTCATGGAGTCTCAAATGAGTCTCTTATAGATAGCATATCTTGGATTGTGTGTTTTAATCCAATCCAAAGTCTCTGTCTTTTGATTGGAGAGTTTAGCTCATTTATATTTACTGATATGGAGGGGCTTCTATCATTGTGCTGTTTGTTTTCTGTATTCCCTTTAGTTTTTTTGTCCCTCATTCCCTGCATTACTTTCTTTTGTGTTTAGTTTTTGGGTTTTTTTTTTGTGTGTGTGTGTGGTGAAATGTTTTAAGTTCCTTTCTCATTTCCTTTTGTGTATATTCTATAGATTCTTTCTTTGTGGTTACCATAGGGATTATATGTAACATCCCAAAGCTATAACAGTGTAATTTGAATTTATACCAGCTTAACTTCAGTAGCATGTAAAAACTCTGCTCCTTTACTGCCCCACCACACCCCTTTGGTTGTTGTCACTAAATTACATCTTTATGTATTGTGTGCCCCTAGTACTTTTAAACTAGATTATGATCTAGTTCTTTTAAGTGCATTGGTTTCCTAAAATTTATACAGAAAAAGAGATTTGGAGTTACCAGCCAAAGTTACAGTAATACTGGCTTTTACACTATTTTGGATTTTACACTAATTATGGATTTTTTTCCTTTTAAATGCACTAGTCTCTTAAATCATGTAGGAAAAACAAGGTACAGTTACAAACCACTCTTACAACAATACTAGCTTTTATAACTGTCTGTGTATTTACTTTTATGCAAGTCTTTATTTCTCCATACAGCTTGAAATTACTGTCTAGTGTTTTCATTTCACCCTGCAGGACTTACTTGGGCATTTCTTGCAGGGCAGGTCTAGTGGTCATGTACTCCCTCAGCTTTTATTTGGGAATATCTTGATTTCTCCCTCACTTTTGGAAGCAATTTTACCAGATGCAGGCATACTTCAAAGATACTGTGGTTTGGTTCCAGACCACTGCATTAAGGTGAATATTGCAGTAAAGTGAGACACCTGAATTCTTTGGTTTTGGTTTCCCAGTATATATAAATGTTATGTTTACACTATGCTGTAGTCTGTTAAGTGTGCAGTTGCATTGTGTCCTATATATACACACACACACACACACACACCTTAATGTAAAATGTTTCATCGCTAAAAAATTCTAACCATCACCTGAACCTTCAGCAAGTCATAATCTTTTTACAATAGTAATATCAGAGATCACTGATTATAGTTCACTGTAACAAATATAATAATGAAAAATCTTGAAATATCTTGAGAATTAGCAAAATGTGGCACACGGACATGAAGTGAGAAAATGTTGTTAGAAAAATGGTGCTAGTAGACTTGCTCGATACAGAGTTGCCCCAGGTCTTCAGCTTATTAAAAAACAACAACAAAATGCTGTCTCTGAAGTGCAGTAAAATAAGGTATGCCTGTGTAGGATTCTTGGTTGAGAGCTTATTTTCTTTTAGCATTTCGAATATATAAGCCAACTGTCTTTTGGCCTTTAAAGTTTCTGATGAGAAGTCTGCTCATAATCTCATTGAAGATCCCTCATGTGTGATGGTTTGCTTCTTTCTTTATCTTTGTCTTTTAAGAGTGTGAGTCTTTTTGAGTTCCTTTTACTTGGAGTTTGTTGAACTTCTCAGATGTTTGTGTTCATTGAGTTGGGAAGTTTGGGGCCCTTATTTCTTCATCTGTTCTCTCTGCCACTTTTCTCTCTCTCTTCTACTAGGACTCCCACAGTGTGTAGGTTGGTCCTTCGGTGGTGGTATGTCCCACAGCTCCCTTAGACTCTGTTTGGTTTTCTTCAGCCTTTTTTTCTTTCTGTTTATTCCTCAGTCTTGATAATTTCCATTGTTCTCTCTTCAAGTTCACTGATTCTTTCTCCTCGCTGCTCAAGTCTACCTTTGACTCCCTCTAGTGATTTTTTTTTTCCATTTCACTTGTACTTTTCAGTCTAGAATTTCTTTTTTGTTTTTTCTTAGGTTTTTCTGTCTCTATTGATACTTCCACTTTGTTCCACATGGTTTTCTTGATTTTTCTCCACATCTTCCTTTAAATCTCATGGAAGTGACTTCAGCCAGAGTGGGAGGGATTTACAGTGCAGGAAGGGGCAGCAGCAGTGGCTGCTGCTCCTGCCCCTTTGTCAGCACCTCTGTGATCAGAACACAGATTCCCAATATCTGAGGCTCTGAGTCCTTTTGTCCACCTTGACTCCTGAATGTTATGTGCAGGCTGTTCCAGGAACATTTGTACAGCTGCCTACCCTATGACAAGGGTTGGGAATGGATAGCTGCTACTATGCTAAGAACTGAAATTAATAGCAATTTAGCATCCTGACCTTTACCTGGCAGTTACAAGCCTTCAACAGACTCTGGAGTTCCAAAATGGTTACATCAGACAACTTCTACCATCTTCCCAGAATCCTCATTGAGTATCTGGTTTTTGTTTCATTGCTTTCTCCTCTTATATTTTTTTCTTCCAACTTTCTTTAGGCTTTATTTGTTATTTTTCTAGCTCCACGAGCTGGGTGCTCTGTTAATCTGCTCAGGCTGCCATAACAAAATACTGCATACAGACTGGGCAGCTTAAGCAGCAGAATTTAATTTTCTCATCGTTCTGGCGACTGGAAGTCCAAGATCTCTCAGGATGTCAGCATATTTGGTTTCTGGTGAGGAATCTCTTACTGGCTTACATGCTTGCATAACCTTCTCACTGTGTTCTCACATGGCTTTTCCTTCATACATGTGTTGAGGGAGAGGTATAGAGAGCAACAGCAGGCTCTCTGGTGTCTCTTCATATCAGGACACCATCGTGTTGGGTTGGGGCCCATCCTTATGACCTCATGCAACCTTAGTTACTGCCTCAGATGCTCAATGTTCATACATACAGCCACACTGGGCATTAGGGCCTCAAGACAGTAGTTTTGGGAAGGATACAAACATTCAGTCCATAACAGATGCTGTAGCTGTAAAACCACAAATTTTGATATGTCATGTTTTCTTTATCATTCACTTCAAATTATATGATGATTTTCCATTTGTGATTTCTTCTTTGACTATCAGTTGTTTATATGTTCCTTGACTTTCAAATATTGGAAGATTTTCTAGTTATTTTTCTGTTCCTGCATTCTAGCTTCCTTCCAGTGAGGTCAGAAACTATACCCTGTGACTTAAATTTGTGCTATTTGTGGGACCTTCCTTATTGACTAGTTTATGGTAAATTCCATATGTGTTTTTACCACCTTCATTTTATAAAAATGGATATTCTGCAGTTGTTGGGCACAACATTCTGTATGTCAAGTTTGTTAATTGTATTCAAATGTACTATCTCCTTGCTGATTTTTTTAAAAATTTACATGTTCTTTCAAATACTAAGAGGTGTTATTTTAATAACTCCACCTATAATTGGGGGGTCTCTCTTTTTTCTGTTTATTTCTGTCCATTTGTATGTGTATTTAGTCTATGTAATCAGGGTACATAGAAATTTAGAATTATTGACTAAATAATCATTGTTCTTGTTACTCCATTTACTCTCTGATTGTGCTTCAAACCAGCCTTAGTCTGCTTTATTGTTACTGTTCAGTTTTTGCTTAAGTCCTATCCAACTCTTCGTGACCCCATGGAGTTTGGCTTATATTAAAATGTCTGTATCAGAGTTCTAACCCCTGCACTCAGCTCTCTTTTAGTGTTTGCTTGATCTTTTTCCATCCTTTTACTTTCAACTTTCCTGCTGAAGGGATGTTTGAAGGTATGTTTCTTGTAAGCAGTATATATAGATAGATTTCTTGGCTTTTTTCCCCCTTAAATCTAGTCTAGCATTTTTGTTATAAAATATTTGTTCCCTACCCTTTCCCCCATTTTTCCTGTCTTTGCTCATTTTTTTTTCCTTTTCCAATTTTCTTTCTTTGGGAGTAAAATACTTTTTATTATACCATTTCTCTCCTTATATTCTTTTAACAGTTATCTTCAGGATTCCAACATATACCCTTGACTCATGATCATTAGAGTCCACTTGGAATCAGGGCCTCTTAACACTTCAAGGACATTTAAATTTCCACGTATTTATCCTCTAGTATTTTCATTTCTTCCTGCTTTGCCATCATTCCATCTGAAATCTTTTTCCTTCTGCCTAAATAACTTCCTTTAGAGCAACAGAGGGAGAGAAAGAGGAGTGTGTGTTAGTGTATCTTCTATTCGTGTATTCACTTAAATCTTCTTTGACTTAAAATATCTTTTATCAAAAAAAGTTTTTAAATATCTTTTATCATTCATTTTTTAAAGATATTTTTACTAAATATAGTACAGTCAATCCTTGAACAATTCAGGAGTTAGGGGCACCAACCCACTATGTATTGGAATATCCAGATATAACTACAGTGCACCCTCTGTATCCACAGTTTTACATCCAAATTCAACCAACTTTGTGGATTGTGTAGTACTATAGTATGCATTTATGGGGAAAATGTGCATAAAAGTGGATCAATGCAATTCAAACCCATGTCTTTCAGCACTTTAAAAATATCACACCACCTTCTGACTTTTATTGTATCTGTTGGAAAATGAGAGTAATGTTGCTCCTTCAAGGGTAATGTTTCTTTTTCTGACTACTTATAACACCTTTTTGTCTTTGGGTCCCAGCAGTTTTACTATAATGTGCCTATGTAGTTTTCTTTATATTTATGCTTAAGGCTTTTGAGTTTATGGATTTTGTCATTTGATGCTTTTAATCAGTTTTAGAAAATCTCAGCCACTGGGAATTCCCTGGTGGTCCAGTGGTTAGGATTCTGTGCTCTCACTGCCAAGAGTCTGGGTTCAGTCCATGGTTGGGAAACTTAAGATCCTGTAAGTCGTTCAGTGCAGTCCCCTTCTCTCCACCTGCCCTGCCACCTCCCCCCGCCCCCGCAAAAAAAAATCAGCATAGAAAATCTCAGCCACTACTTCCTTTTTCTTTTTAAAACTTTTATTGGAGTATAGTTGATTTACAGTGTTGTGTTAGTTTCCAGCATGTACTGTTTCTTCAGATAGACTGAAACCGTGCAGTCTCTCTCTTCTATGACTCCAGTTACCTGGAAGTTCCACCTTTTCATCATACCTCGTATAGCTCTTTTGCTCATTTCCATGTTTTCCATTCTTTTTCCTCTCTTTACTTGAATTGGAATAGTTCTTACTCTATTACACTTGCCTAATCTTTTTTTTTTTCAGTTTCTAATCTGCCCCAGAATTCATCTTAACAAATACTGTGTTTTTAGGTTCTAGACTTTTCATGTATAGCTTTCTAATAAAATTCTCTTTTTTCTTGAACATATAAACTATAACTATTTTAAAGGCCATATTTGTTACTTTCAACTTTGTCTCTAGTTTGGCAAGATAGCCAAGGTACTACTTCTTTTTGCTTGGTTTCTTAGAATCTTGTCCCATGCATACATGGTTTAAGGATTCACAGTAGCTCTAGGGAAAATTGCAGGCAGCATTTCAAACCTGTGTCTCTACTGTTCCCTTCTCCAGGATTTTTGACTCCTTGTGTCTTGGCCATCGTGGTATTCCCGAATTCCAATCCCTCTCTCCTCAGTCTGTTGAAATCTACATTGAAAGCCCAAGTTAAGAACTCCTAATATGGAGCTTAATGCAGTGTATTCTCCTTGCCTCTGGAAAGAGAATATGCCTCTGCTTCTTTCTTTTGTATAGTTTCCTGCTTTTATAGCTGGCTGTTCTAGGCAGATGGTCAGACTATACTTGTTACTTGGTCATGACTGTAGACATGTAAAATGTATGTATGTTTTAGATCAATATAGTTTTATGTTTTCCCTTTTTTTAAACTTAGCATTATATATTGGGCACTTCTTCCTTTCAGTTGAAAAGTTCTTCAAAATCCTCACTTTTAACGATTGCATATTATTACATAATATGACTATTGTGTTGCTCAGTCATGTCCAACTCTCTGCGACCCCATGGCTGCAGCATACCAGGCTTCCCTGTCCTTCACTATCTCCCGCAAATTTATGACAGCATATATTTAATCATTCCTGTTGTTGGATATTTATTTTGTTTAAAAGCTTTTAATGTAATGACTTTACTTCAGTGTATCTTTCTACATAGCCAGAGATGCAGCCAAGGTAGAATTTTTGTGACAGAAGAATGTGAATGTTTTAAAGTATGTATTGCCAAAATGCTTAATGAGTAAAATGGTGCAATTTTATATTTTTATTAGCATCAGCAAAAAGAATTGTAATTAAAATTTGTGGATTACTCTTTTAATGACCTTTTTCTCTTTATGAAAATAGTATGTGTTATAAGAATATTTTAAAAACACAGGTGAGCAATGCTAAAGAAAGTTAGCAGAATCTTACCACCTAGAGTCAGACAGTAATTGGCAATAGGTAATATACTCATTGCCATTCTTATGTATTTAGAATCATGCTTGCTGTTTTTTACTAGGAGTATCTTGAACGTCTGAGGATGTTATATATTTCTTCTGCCACAGTGATTTTCAAATTATTTCAGGTAATTGCAAAGCAGTTCATTCTTTCTGTTTTCTTTTTCTGTTTTTTTATTCTTCCTCTTCCAGACCTCTTCCTATGCCAAAGCTGCCCCCTGGGGAGCAGTGTGAAAATGAGGAGGATACAGAGTATATGACTCCTTCCTCTAGGCCCGTGGGACTTCAAAAGCCAGAAGTGAAGTGGCCTCCAGAGATAGCGCAGAGTTCACGGTAGGTTCACAACAGTCCTGTTTGGAAATTCAGTTGACACCAACTCACTCACCTGCTTGGCTTGCTGCCTGCACATAGTGTTATCCAGCCAAAAATAAAGCAGAAAGATGTGTGTAGCCGCTAATGTTTTAAGCTTCTTGCAGCTGTAAGCAGTTCCACTTAATGTTTCTTGAGCATCACAATAATTTCAAAACCTACACAGCGTTACTCATAATAGGGGTCAATCTTATGATATTTACCAGTAGTGACACTGGCGAAGGGAGAGTGTTATCTTGATAGAATCAGGGTCTAGAGAAGTTGTGAATAAGTGACTCCTGCTAAGTTTGCAGATAACAGAGTTCTGTTTCTGAAGATCATTATGCCACTTTCCTTCCGGTCCAGAACATGTGACTGTGACCAGCAGATCGATAGCTGTACATATGAAGCCATGTATAATATTCAGTCCCAGGTGGCGCCATCTGTCACAGAGAGTGGTACATTTGGTGAGTAGTCATTCTGCTACTTTATTTATTTATTTAAATTTATTTATTCATTTGGCTATGCGGGGTGTTAGTTGCAGCATGTGGGATCTTTAGTTGTGGCATGCAAACTCTTAGTTGCGGCATGTGGGATCTTAGTTCCCTGACCAGGGATCAGACCTGGGCCCCTTGCATTGGGGGCATGGAGTCTTAGCCACTGGACCACCAGGGAGGTCCCCAGTTCTGCTGCTTTAACAATCATTGATGTGCCGAAGGAATGAGCTGATAATGTCTGGCCAATGAGAGCTTGATCTAAGTGGAATATTCTTAAATAATTTTCTTTGCAAAGTATTTTTGATCTATGGCAGTAAAGGCCTTTCTTCTCTTTTATTTTTCATTCACACAGCCAGTTCCATTTGGGTTTTTCATCCTTCTAGGGCCTGGCAGCCCTTGTGTTATACGGCCTGGACCTGCAGTGCTGGCAGCTAGCTCCCTCTTACTCCCATTGCTTTTCAACATTGATGAAATTCTTGTGTGTGTGGGTGGTGAATACTTCATTCCCATATTAACTAGCTTACCAAGTTGAAAGTTCAAGAAGGCAGTACATACAACAGGGCTCTTTGGCTGATCTTCCAAGGTGAAATGCAGATGAAAATGTTGACTGAATGCTGTAAAGTGGTGCTTGAGTCTTGGATTTCAGTGGCCGTTAACCTTGGCCAGGGTAGCTTTTGACATATTTAGAAAAATAGAGCTGTAGGGTTGGTGCAGATTTTAGGTTCCTTGTTTCTTTTATTTCTACCCACAGGGCCACACAGTGTTTGACCCATAATGGATATTCAGTAACTGTTTGATGCTACATATGCTCGATGAGTGGATGTCCCTGTCCTGAAATGTTAGACAGAGAAGTACGTTAGAAAAAGAGGATAACTGCACAAATTTTTCTCTAGGTGAAGGGAATTTGGCTGCAGCCCATGCCAACACTGGCCCTGAGGAATCAGAAAATGAAGAGGACGGGTATGATGTCCCCAAGCCACCTGTGCCTGTGGTGCTGGCCCGCCGCACGCTCTCCGACATCTCCAACGCCAGTTCCTCCTTTGGCTGGCTGTCCCTGGAAGGTGATCCCCCCACACGTGAGTCTCCAGGCTCCCTCAGGTTTACCCAGAAATGCTGTGTGGCTCCCTGTTTATACCAAAACAGAGATGACTGCTTAGTGACAGTAAGTCAGTAGCTGAAAGGAGTGGACCAAAGTAGGAGGAGAGCTGGTCCTGGGACCCAAATTGGGAAGTTAAAGTTGATTTAGACTCTTGAGAATTTTGCCTGACTTAGAAATAAGGTTATTCCTTACACCCTGTCTCTGCCTATGCTGGGAGTAGTAGGCTTTCTGGCTCATCTGAGCATGCGTGATGACAGTGATAATTCAGCTTGATGATTTGGAGCACACATTCCTGGCTTCTAGGCCCTGTCCCACTGGAAGGGAGGCGTACTGGCTCTGGAAAGCATCTGAGTGGGCCTAGAGCCAGCCCACATTTGGACCTCGACTGTTAAGGGCTGTCCTTCTTGCACCTGTGGCCGCCTGGGAACGCAGCGGCCAGAGTTTCTGTCACTTTAGTAACTAACGGAAGACAGCCTTTAGGACAGCTGGTGAAAAAAGATACATGGCATCCATTGCCCAAACAGGCAGTGATCCCCTGCCACCCAGCCTTGTTTAATGCTTCTTCACTGTGACCTCGGCTTATTTCTGTTCCTTGATTTGTGAAGGAGAAATCTAGTGTCTGCTCTGGCCCCTCAGAAATGTTTTTTGACTTATTCAGGCAGTAATGCATGTGAAAATTTGGTGCTCAGTGTAAAGTGTGTTGCAGATGTTGTGTGGGCAGGGCAGCATGGTCCCCGTCGGTAGGGCAAGTGCATGGTGTTTATAGAAGGTTGTCCTGCCATGAGAGGAAGGCTGTACACTAAAACCCTTAAAGCTGTAAAAACCCAGCCGTGTGACTGAAGAACACATGTACCCGACTGACAGTGGGTCAGTAATATCTCATACTAGCACATTGTTATTAGATGAGGCTTTCTCCCCACCCCCACCCGCCCTCAGATTTGCAACTATTCTCTTTCCCATTTCTTCCAGACTTCACTGAGAGTGCCCAGGTTCCTGAGAGGCCACCCAAGCCGTTCCCTCGGAGAATCAACTCTGAACGGAAAGCAGGCAGTTGTCAGCAGAGCAGTGCTGCCACCTCGGCCGCCGCCTCCCCGCAGCTCTCCAGCGAGATCGAGAGCCTCCTGAGTCAGGGCTACTCCTATCAGGACATTCAGAAAGCCTTGGTCATTGCCCACAACAACATTGAAATGGCCAAAAACATCCTCCGGGAATTCGTTTCTATTTCTTCTCCGGCCCACGTTGCCACCTAGCACACCCCCTCCCTGCTGCAGCTTAGAGGACCGAGGAGCCGGGAGCTCTCGCTCAAGTAGCACCCTAAAGGGCGGCTAGGTTCCTTTGGAAACTTCACAGTGAGGTCTTGCCCTGTCTGTGGGGTATCACATCTGTGGTTCCAGGATTTCAAAGCAGTGGACTGAGGACGGAACAGCTAGGAGGCTTGATTCTTTTCTTAATGTTTTAAGAGTGCATTTGAAGGTGTCCTTCAGTCCCCACTTGGAAAGAGTGTGGATTTTTGTGAAATGGTAGCCTACCTGGGGAGCAGTCCAGAAAGCAGAAGTACTGTGCTCTAAATCCTAATTGAGGACTTAAGACTTTCTTGGGTTAAGGATATGGTTCTATGCGTTTTGTCTGTCTGTCTGTGGTTGTGTGTTATAAGATTAACCTGCTGTGTGTGTAAATTCCAGGCGGGGAATTAGCACAAGAGGTTTAGGAAGGAATCTTAAAGACTCCCATCCACTGTGGTTTTCTCCCCAACCCCAGCGTGTGTTACAACTCAAACACTCCCCTTTGGCTCGGATTGTCGTGTGCATAGCTGAAGTCTTGTATTTTTAGAACGCCTCCCCACCCCCTGCTCTGTCTTCTCCCTGTCTCCTCCGCCCTCCTCCTCCTTAAGAGTCCGTCATTGGCAGTGGGCTTACTGTGATCAGCCTTACTGACGCCAAGCAGCTTATAGGATGTTCTTTATAATGTGTGATGGTGTTGGTTTGTTTGGTAGATAGGTGGGGAAAAAAGTACTGTTGCTCTGTCATTATGGTCCTGTTTGATACTCGCAGCGAACACTGGTCACTCCAAAGCACTGTTTCTATAGGAACATTGAATCTGTTTTTAAAAAGATGTTTTAATTATCGTAATTACATAATGACTGATACGAGATAGAGGCCTTCAGATACATTCCATGCTCTCCCCAGAAAGTAGTCTGCGGGAGTCAGTTGCCTTGGTGCCAGGTATGTGTTCTAATGTAGATCATGAGATTTTCTACTTAATGGGAAGGGGAAAACATTTGTTTCCAGCATGGCTTTCTGGCCCAAATACCATGAAGCACTTAGAAAGCTCCATTCACACACTCTATACCTTGTTATACATAAAATGCACTCAGCAGACAATAAGGATTTCTCTCTTCAGCTTTTCTTCCCAGTGAATTTCAGCTTATATGGGTGTCTCCCTATGATGATGAGCCAGGTTATATTTTCAGAGGTGAGTTTTTTTTCTTTGCTCTTTAAGGAGTTGAGGGTATCACTCCAGGGTAGCACAGCATTCTGCTGACAGTTTGCACCAACCCTACACTGGTGCTGCCTGGCGACTCGCTTTTCTCTTTGTGCCTATGGCTTTGGGAATGTAGCATTTCCTTCTTCTTCCTCATCCCCTTTCTTCTTCCCTTCAGCTCTCAGATACTCTTTAGTGACTGCGTTCCCCACGGTCATTAGACATCACTGGTGTGATCAATGCCTTTCCTGCACTCCGACAACATTGACAAGCCCTACAGCTTGTGCCCTTGCCAGTTGGTAAAGAAGACCCAGAGTTCATTGGTCTGTTCCTGTAGATGCTGCCAGCTCGAGCCTTTTAACTGACTCCCTGGCAGTGGGTAACCTTCCTTCTGGTCAGAAACAAGCCTGCTCCTTGATAAACCCACCTGCCTCACAATCTAAAACCTGGTTTGTCTCATAATCTAAACAGAAATGACTTTGCATCTATTTTCTTTCCCATGTTATCATAATTGGACTTAAAGCTTTTTCTAACTCTTTTCTTGGCTTTCAGTTACTCCTAGATCTTTTATTTTTCTCCTCTTGCCTCCGAGCCATTTACATTCCCAGAGTGGATGGTTTGGGGATTCTTGCTGAATTGCCGTGGTTACGCATTGTCTTCTCTTTGTGGCAGAGAATGACACAGCCCCCACCAGGTGCAGGAGGGCCTCAGTCGGGGTGGAGAGGCAGAGGAAAGGGACAGAGAGTAGGAAAGAGGAACCTAGTGTCTCCTGCTCAAAGCCGGTATAGTGTTTCACTTGTGGTAGCATTCATTTTTGCACTTTGTTTAGATGTGGAAGGCCTAGGTGAAGAACTAGAAAACATGGCAGCAGCCTGCATACCTCTGCCTGCTGGAGTTTTTCCTCATCTGTAGATACTACCTATAGTCTGAAGATCTGTCAAGAGAACAAAGCAGTGGTTCTGCAAATCCTTTGTCTTTTCAAAGTGCATGGAAAGTCTTCTTTGAAGATTATGTCCTAACTTATATACGCTAAAGGCAAGCTTATCCTTTTTTTTTTTTTCATAATGGTTCATTGGGTCATTCAGTACTCAACAGTTCATTGAGTACCTGTGTGGTTCATTGGGTCAGCCCTCAAACTCAGTGCTGAACATATGCACCATTGCTTGGCCTGGTTCTTAGCTTGTCAGTTGTTTGTCTACGGGCACTCAGGGTCTCACACCTTTCAGTGAGAGGTTCCTTTGGGTGCCCTGAGTTCATGCCTGGGTCTGAGTCTGAGATTGCCAGATGAGCCTCAGGCAAGTTTTCTCATGGCTCTTGTTTGAGGATATTTCCAAAACCATAATTTCTTAAATTTTCCTTTGAGGCACCAGTCACCCATTCTTCATCCTCAGTTCATGTGGCAGTTTTTAATTCTTTGGTTCTGCTCTGAATTTAAGTAAATTGCTCTTTTACAAGTGGGCTTTGAATTTTGCCATTTGGAGCAGTCACATCCCCTTTCTCCCTCTAAGTTACAAATGGTTCCCCCTCTGTTAGCTATTAGGTAAGCAAGGTAAAAACCACTTTGCTGTTTCCCCCTTTCTCAAATGCATTAGGCTCTTCTGTTCAACCCTGCTTCCCCATGTCTCCTTGGACTGCTTTCTGCGGCCCTCCTTGATGCTGGCTGGCTGTTCATCCACTGCCCCCGCCATACTCCTTCTATTAAAGTCAGGGGTTCTCAAGGTGGAAAAAACCTGTGGGCTCAGTGATATACCTCCGTTTAGGTAAATAATAGATTTGGCAGTCTATTGTCTCAGCATTTATCTGTTAATATTTATATCAATAATGCTATATACCTGTGGGTGGCCATTCTCTCCCCTAACTCTCTCTATGCCCCCAGCGCTGTTCTGCGTGTTGTGCCATCCTGTTCTTTTGCTTCTCATGCAGACTCTTCACACCAGGGCCCAGGGTGTAGTATAGTACTGTTAGTATCATTTAGCTGTTTTGTGGATTTAGAAGAAAAATTAGGGGGGTTGCTATTTCTCATACTTAAAATATTTATTTCCTCTTTAGAAAAGTAAAATATATTTTATGGTTCAGTCAGAAACCTCACACGTGAATTTTTTATATTTGCTTGCAACGTAGGGACCAGCTATATGTTCCCTTTAACAAGATCTAGACCTTTTTCCATGTGACCAGCAATGGTGTTAGTGCAGAATATTCTCCTACCTCACGTCATGAGAGGTAGAGGGTTACAGGCCCTCTTCCCAAACTGTAAATCTCCCCGCTTGTTGTTGGCCTTTCTGACTCTGCAGTGACCACTGCCCATGGAATAATGATATTCTGACCATTGGCCCGGCTCTCAGAGTGTGTGTTCGTTCAGCAGGTGGTTATGAGTGAATACCATGAGCCTCAAGTGCCAGCTCTTGTGTTCTCGCCTCCCACCTCAAGGCAGTTTACTGATGTTGAGGAATTGTACTTCGACTGTCTAGCATGTGCATTTGGCCCTAAAATACCCATTCCCAATTCGATTGTGCAGTTTATAATCACAGCTGTATGCAGACATACGTTTCCTTATAGAGCTGTCCTGGTTAAGAATCAGTTCAAGATGCTCCCCTTAACCCCTGTTGTCTTCCTATAGTTTTGACAATGTCTGGGAGATTCCTCCATGTAAGTCTCATGGATTACCCACTATTTTTATGTGTTTATAGTCTGTGTGATGGGTCTGTTGATTGGCTCAGAGTTGCACAGTAGGGCAGTCAAATGTTTAAGGAAAGCATCTGCCTCCAGTCCCCTTTCCACTCTAGTGCCTTCCTTGATCTTTTTACTCAGCTGCTTGTATTCCTATTCCCCTTTATTAGGAAGTTTTCTTATGACCCTTCTGGGACCTCTTACCATCTCCCATCCTGTGTGGAATTGGTTTTCAATCGTTCCACAACCTTCCTGCTAATCCTGTGTCTCCTTAGAAGAGCCAAAGTTGTGAGAGGAGGATGAGCGCCTGTCTCTGGGTCCTGATTGTCCACCAGTTGTTTGGTCTCCCAAGAGCCAGGCAGTGAGGTAGACTAAACTCAGTTCTCAAAAATGTCAGTCTGTGTATCTCCGAGTATGGAGCTTAGAGACCCTGGAACTTAGTGTAAGAGTCAACACGTTATTCTCCTCCTGGATTTTCATGCCCTAGAAATTCGATCTGAAGTATTCTCAGCATAAAGCATTACTGTTACTTTGATCTCAGTCTACATGAGCAGCTTCATGTTAGAAATGCATGTTGCCACTTAATGCATGGAGGAGGACGCATAGTGGAAGAATGTCAAGACTGTATGTTTGACTGTCCTGTTGAGCAGTCCTTCAGATACCAGAAACAGAAGAATTCAAGCAGAAGAAAGGAGGGAGTCATCAGGATGCAGAGTATCTCCCAGAACCCAGCGAAGCAGTACAGTTGATTCTGCATGGAGCTGAGAAACTTTGCAACTCGATCTTTCTCCTGCAAGTAAATCTGTTTGTCAGTAATGTGTGGCCGTGAAATCAGTACCCTAGTCCTCAAGTCCTCATGGCCCCCCAGTTCTAGGGATCATCGCTTTAACAGATACCCAGCTCCTCTTGTTCATATTCTCAAGGAAAACTGTCATCAGCCCAGCATATTGATCAGGTATGGACACCCAACCAGTCCACCTTTGCCACACAGGGCGGCAGCCGCAGGTTAGTTCAGGTGGGAAGAAGGGGCAGTGGGAGGTTCTGACTGGAGGTGAGAGAGACCCTAAACCACTTTGGGTTGGCCAAAAAGTTCAATCAGCTTTTGTGTATGATGTCATGACATGAAAACCCAAATGCACTTTTTTGCCAAACCAATACTTTAGTAGTAAAGTTTACCATACTGCTTTCTTGAGAGGGGAAAGGCAGGCATGGGACTGTGTCTGGGACATTGAAGAAGCGCTTAGGTTAACGTTAACTTGGGTTACTGTCTTCACAGTTTATTGCCTGTTTTGTTTTCCTTTATGTGTCCTGGCATCCAAGATTTCTTACCTCTTTCTTCAGGACCCGTTTCTCCTTTTCCAGAGCTAGTCTGTTCTTGGGTGACATTTCTTAGCCTTCATTTAATCTCAGGTTTCTGGCTGTCTTTCAGTTTCTTCAGAGAGCAGATCACAAATCCCCCGTCGCCCCTGCCCGTGGCCTCAGTCCCTCCATGTCCTCCTCCCCACCCTTTCATCTAGTCTTTCCTCTGCAGTGATGTCCTTAGGCAGGCCTTCCGTGGTACCTCAGAAACTACTTTGCAGTAAGAATTTATGACATTGGGACAGTTGCCAGGATGTGAATTAGGTATAGATTCCAGTTGAGAGTTTCTACTGAGAGCTCTTTCGACAGGATGCATCTGTCCTTTCTGTCCGGTTGCTTCCTTTGTCATCCTGTAGTAAAGCCTTTGTTTGTTGGTTTTTTAAAGCCGTGCTTCTGCTTGCCTGAATCTTCTGATCTTATGTCTCTCATCCCGGACCCTTGTTATTAATGCATTTCATAATTACTTACAACTTTTTTAAACTACTGGAGTCATTTGATGTACATCGAAGTCGCCTAATAATCCAAAGATGCACACTGAGGCCCGTGGTGAAGGCTGGGGCCTGTGTTTGAAATTCCCTTCTAGGCTCCAGAATTCAGGGGCAGAGGGACAGCAGTGCCACTTGCCTTCACCGAGTCCTAGGAAGTCTGGGTTGGTTTCAGAGGGGGAGCACCAATGTTTCTTGTTTCCGGAAAGTAGCCCAGGAGTGAGTGGGGGAGTCGGGGTGGGGAGAGCCAGGCCTGCCTAGAGGCCCCCTGGCAGTCTTCTGGAGAGCACGGTGCCAAAGGGCCAGCTGTTGACTAACAGACTAACAACTGTTTGGAGATCTCACTGCCCCTTCTCTTGTTCAGTTCTTGAGAAAAATGTAGCCGACCACTCCCTGTGTGTGTAGAGAGCGGAGGCTGAACGCCAACCTACTGATCTGGCAGTGGAACAAATCAGAGTTCTCATCGCCCGGCCCCAGATTCTTGTTCAGTCCCCAAAATGTGAGAGGCGCCCTTCACAAATCCTCCTTCTGCCCCTGGGTCACTTTGGGAGGCCAGGGGAGTCTGCTCGGTCCAGGCTGTCTGAGCCTCCCCAGGCCTGGCGCCGTTGCCCTGCTGGGCCCCCGCGTGGGCTGTGTGTGCGCCTGCACCCAGCGCTCCGACATAGGTGCTAATGTGCCCTGTGCATCAGTTCCCTCCTCCCCGCCTCCCTCTGACCGACCTTTGTGGCTGAGGAAGCTGCGCTTACGGCTGTCTGGAAGCTGACGAGGCAGGGGACCGCTTACCCGGCTGTAGACCCAGTGTATTCTGTTCCTTGGTTTCTTCCTTCTGCTGTCAGAGTGAGTGAGCCTGCAGGGGCCAGGCCCACAAGAGTGGATGCCTCCCGACCTGCCCGTCTCAGCCTTGTTTGAGTGTCCTGGCCTTGGCCTCCTGCTGAAATGTGTGGCAGGGGCGTGGCAGCTAGGAGGTACCTCCTCCCCCTGCTTTCTGGCTGTGGTGACTTGTATTTTTAACCTTATATATCTTTTTGCTTTATTCAAAACAAAACAATTTTTAGCACACTGAAAAAAAAAAAAAACCAAACATTTTGTGCCTTTCTAAGGCAGCACTGTATCCCAGGCTGCATTTTAGGACTTAATATGGAAATACCAGAGTCTTAGCTCCTCTACCTTGAGGGTCATTAGTTCTCCAGTCTAGGGGAGAGGACGTGTCTCCGGGCGGCTGGGGAGGTGGCACCCAGGTGCAGCGGGTCAGCGGTCCCTTCTCCAGCCACAGTGCTGAGTTGGAAGAGATGAGCATTGTACCCCAGGATCATTTCATTGGCTCCAGTCAGAATCTTAGTTGTCAGGTTGGATGTTCTGTATTCAGCAGGAGACAGAATGTTCCATGACTGCCAGGTATCCTCTGGACCGTTTCAAGTGACCCAGCCTCCCGATCTTGTCAGTGACCCAACGGCATTGAATAGTGTAGAGTGGACTCCCGAGGAGGAGGTTGTTTGTCTTGTCTTTATGCTGGATCCTGAACTGGCCTAGACCTCCTGCCTCTCTCTTAAGACTTGGCTTTCCTTTCATTTGAAAACTTCAGACGTAGAGCATTAAGCAGATAGTGCCTCTGCAGGGGCAAGTTTTCCCCTGGGCAGGGCGGCAAGGACCACGTACCGGAACAGAAGCCTGTCCTCAGTATGGTGGCCACTGTAGGTTTCAACAACAAAAGTTTTCTGTATAATGACGTTTTACTTGTCTCTTTCCCTCTTCTCAGTTCTTCCTTGCCTTTAACTTAATAAAGAATTGGGAGATAGAAACAGTTCTTTTCAAAGTCCTCCTTATTCAGGATTTTGACATTCTTGGCCTGGGTGGGGCTGGAGAGAACTTGATGCTTTCTCCAGAATGAAGAGTCCCATTTGTATATCAGTGTTAAAAATAAAACAAAATGAAACCTTAGATGAGATTTTTGTGGACTATTTTAAAAATGTGTCATTAATATAAAAAAATTATATTAGCAGTATTTAATCATTCTCACCTGTAAAGAATAAAACAGAAGGTAAATATTCTTACAGAGAATAGCAGAGCTTTAAGAGTCATTTTCATTTTAAGTCCATTTTGTTTTGCCAATGTATTAATGTTTAGAGGTTCTGTTATACTAATGTTATTTATTAATTTTTTTCACTTCCATACACAGTTAACTAAAGAGCTTTTTCAGGCACCCATGTCTGTAAAAAATATTTTTAAATAAAGTTTCTTTTGTTGTAGCAGACCAGAGTTCTTGCTCATTCGTGGGTCAGGGAGTAAGGCATTGGGGAACTACAGGGCCAGATGTATAACCCCATCAGTTCATCACCAGACGTCTTGTTCTGCTACCTGGAGGGCCGTTTAAGTGACAGGAAAGGGGCAAAAACTCCCTGCTGACAGCTCACCAGGCTCTATAAGCTGCCTGGATCAGGGCAGCTCTGCTGCTGAGGAGCAAGCTTATCCTCTGTGTTAGAGCCCTCTGCTGAAAAGCAGAGGTGACCTCTGGTCCCTGCTCCCAGCTGCAAAGGGCTCTGTGTTCCTTTTGGCATGGTTCCTACTCTGCAGGCCCCAGGCTGCTGTGGTACCCATGATGAGTAAAAAACAGTGTGAGATTAAGGGACAATTAAGCTTTATTTTTCATATATATATATAATATACACACACATATATAAAAAGGAAACAATTTGCATATTTACAACCTAAGAAAACCATATATATATACACACACACGCACGCACACACACACACACACAGATACACATACACGCACCAAAGCTCTAGCCAGGCCCATTTCTCATCTCCAAGTACCATTCTCCCATTAGGACCCTGGTGCTAATATAACTATAGCCTTAACCCTTGTAAAGGACTATCTGGACCTCATCTCCAGCCCCCTCCCCCAGCCTTCAGTCATAATGTGATTCTTAGAGCGGGTTGGGGGAGCCAAGTGAATGAGGGTGCTCGGGCCCAAGGGCCTTCACTCTGGAAATCTGTGCCTGGCATCCTCACTGACTATCCTGTAAGGAACACCACCAGGTCCTGGCTTCTGCCCAGGGAAAGAAAGGAGTGTCGCAAAAGCGACTCCACAGGCAGGCAGGCAGCTGCTTCCATTTACTGTGGGGGGGGGGGTCTCCCCAGAACTGAAGTGAGCAGTGACCCTCACCCGCGGAGAGAGGCCTGGGCTCACCGCAGCCACATTTCAGCGTATGACTGGATTATGAAGCCAGCCCTGGGCCAGGAAGTCAGCTCAAGATAAACAGGCTACCTAATTTGGTTGCTGGTAGAAGATGGGTACTTACATCCATAATGTGTAAAGAGAAAACAAGTTCTATAAGAAACTCTCCTATGCATTTCTGGGATATTGAGGCTTCTCCTTGGTCTCAACAAATTAAGACCCTGGTGGACAGGTCCCCAAGGAGGGGGCCTCCAGGGCCACATGAGGTCTTTCTCTGGACATCTCGGGTCCTAGCCCACGTGCCCTCTGAAATGGGGTCTGCAGGTAAGCTGGAGGGGGACCTTTTCCACTTCAGTAGTCCACTTTAGAGGCTTTGGCGACCATCCTGAGTGCTGGGGAGGAGGGTGAGCAGGGAACAGGGGAGGTTCCAGGCAGTGGAGGGAGAGCAGTGTGATTCAGCGGCTAGTGCCTCAGATCGATGTATTTCTCTCCCTAAAGATGGATGAAGAGCAGAAGTGAGGCAAGGATTCGGAGACACAGACCGGGGTTTAGGTGCCAGTGCTAAGAGGGAGCAGGGACTGAAGCCACAGCTGATGAACTAGGTGCAGCGCCTGGAGGGAAGAAGCCAGGGTGGGGGGTGGCGGGGGGGCGGGCAGGGCAGGGAATGAGAGGTGAGACCCCCAAATCACACTGGGCCGGGCGTCACACCTAGTGATGTGAGCCACCAGCGCCGTTCAGGAAGTGGTGATAGACGGGGTCCTGCTCTTGGTCCTGGGGGCTACCTTCTCCGGGGTCCCTCAGCCACCTGCCTGGCCCTACCATCTGTGAGTAGTGTTAGGGAGGCGAGGTGGGAGCTGCTCCCCGTTGGAGATGGGGAAGGATGAAGGACAGAGTTAGTGTTCAGCAACCGTCAGCCCCTGCTGCTCCCAATCCCTAGAGACTGTCAGGCTCTGGCCACGGGAACTGCCTCCTACCTGGTCTCCTGGAGCCCTCTTGTCACCGTTGCTGCCCTGAAGGAGGCCCATCTCTTCTGGGAGCTTATCTGACTTAACTTCAACTACAAATTCGCTCTTAGGAGACGGGGGCAGCGTGCTGGGAGGAGGGAGGGAGGCAAGAGGTTGGCAACTTGAGGGCAAGGGAAGGGGGGCTGTCAGGAGGGACAGGGCACTGGGTGATGATGGGCCCTTGGGTGTTCTGGGCCAGCTCGGGGAAGGGCAACAGGGAAGAAGGGAAGCGGTGTGGTGGAAGGAGCTGGGTAGTGGTGGGAAAGCAGGTGTCCCGCTCCTGCTCCTAACGGGCTAGTGGGCCGGGGGCTGGCAGGGGAACGTCCCCGAGGAGGCAGCAAGCTGGCAGCATGAGATGGGGGGGTGGGTGTGCAAGATGCCAGGTATTGTGCTTACATCTCTTGTTTGCCTGACCGTCCACATGGCAGCTTGCCCTTCTTGTAGAAGAAATAGAGGACAGCGCCCAGCAAGGCCAGGACCAGGACACACACGGTCACAGCCACGATGACCACACCCTTGCTTTCGGGCTCTGTCAGCTTCTTCTCTGTTCCACAAAGACACTCGGAGTCACTCCCTGCCCCAAGCTGTCACGTTACCATCACTGCCCTGCCCAATCCAGGGCTGATGGAAGGTGGGCAACTGCCCAAGGCTCCCCTGGGCTGGGCAGGGCAGAATGAGGATGCCCGGTCCAGCCTAGCTCACCTGTTGAGGTGCTGTTGGCTCTGGCAGGGGGGCTGATGGTGGAGGTGCTGAGGTTGGTGGTTCTGTTGGAGTCTGGGGTGGAAGACATGAAATGGATTGGGGTCAGGGGTGGGAGAGGAATGAGCCCGACGTGGGCTTGTCCCCGCCCTCTCTGCAGGAGGACCCAGCCCTTACCCAGCTCCAGGAAAATGATGGTGGTGTTTCTGCCCAGGGAGTTGGAGGCCACGCACTCAGCGCCTGTCTCCAACAGCTCTGGGGTCACCAAGACGTTCAGGACACTCAGGACACTCTGCGGCTCCTGGTCTTGCTCACTTGCCTACAAGGAAGGAGGCGCGGCTCAGGGGTGGGAGGGTGTCGGGCGGTGGCAGCAGAACCTGCAAGGGGATGGCCCGGCGCCTGGGAGGTTGCCGTGCGCCCACTCACCGTGCCGTGGACGCTCCACACAATGCTGGGCCGAGGGTGCCCCGAGGCTTCACAGGACAGATTCAGCACCGAGTTCTCCTTCACCCACATCTTCTTTTCCCTTAATGCCATCCACGGGGGCCCTGCGTGAGGGCAGGGCGGGTTGAGACAGCACACTCTGCCAGCCCGCCATCCCCTCCCCACACCAGAGCGCCCCAGGGCAGCAGGTGATTTCTGGCCCCCAGAGAGCTTGAAAACACCGACCAATTCAAGGGCCTCACCAAAAACGGCCACGTTGACCAGCTGGGAGCGGTTCAGGCCGGGAACGCTGGGCACAGAGGCCAGGCAGCGGTAGCCTCCCCCTTCCTCCCGTTTCAGTTTGTGTAACTGGAGCATCTGCCCCTTTGCCAGTAACTTGCCTGTCTGAGATGAGAGATGGGTCAGAGGTCACTCCCAGGCCCACCCATGCCCCCAGAGCCCTGGGTCCACCTGGGTACCTTTTCTCTCAGCCACTGGAACTGAAGGTCCTGGTTGCTCTCGGCCTCACAGTTCAGGGTGAGGCTGCTGCCCTCCTGGCTCTCGGGGGCTGCGGGGCTCACCCGGACATCAGACACATCTGGGGGTGCAGCAGTGGGGTCAGGCAGGACAGGGCGGGTTGGATTCCCTCTCGCCCCAGCCTGGTCCCCCTGTCCTGGGCCCCCAGCCCCTCACAGTTCACCACCAGCTCCTGTCGGTCGCTCTGCAGCGATGCCGTGGTCTCCAAGTCCAGGCCCTGACATTCATAGTGGCCACTATGCTCCTTCTGGGCGGGATCCAAGACCAGGACCCCGTTGTCATCCATCCTCTCTTCCTCCGTCTCCCTGGTATTGAGGTTCTGGGAGAGGACGAAGGTGTGATCAGAGCAGACCTCCAGCCACTCTTGCATGCCCGCCTCCACCCAGAACAGAGGGTCCCGCACCTGCTTGATGATGCTGAAGTGGGGCTGGGGGTTGCCATCAGCCAAACACCTGATTTCCACACGGTCCCCCTCCTTCAGCACCCCCTCAGGCTCCACTTCCAACCACACTCTCTCTGCCGGGTCTGTACAGGCAAAGGGGACGGTTCTCAGCCCAAGATTGGCCTCTGTGCCGGGCAGGCAGAAGCTCGCAGGACCCAGCCCCACTGTGAAGGGTACTCACAGAAAACAGGGACAGTGACCTCCTTAGATTCTTTCATGTGGTTCCCACTGGGCAGCCGGTAGCTGAGCTCACAGTAAAACTGAGCATCTTTGTCCTCCTTGGACACCTGTGCCTGCAGAACGCTGCGCAAGGTAAACAGACCACTCGACTCCTCTGTCTGGAATGACTGGATGTGGACCCCTGGTCATGGAGGAAGGGGAGAAGGGTTCAGTGGGTCTCTGCTCTGCCTCCATCCCCACCCTGTGGTATCCTGGGTTGGGGAAGGAATGGTGGGGAGACCCTGTAGAGGGCCGTGGATCATTACAAATGCCACCTGCAACCCTTCAACCCAGTTATTTACTGCTTGCTATCTACCCCAAACACATGTGGGCACTCATACAAGGGTGTGTGAAAATACTGCAGTGATTTAAAAGTAAAGAGAAAATACTCTGGACGTCTACTAACCAGAATGAATGGTTAGCTAGATCATATTATAGCTATATTATATATTACATTATAGCTCAGCCATGTGAAGTGCTGGGCAGTAGGTAAACAATCAGGTAGATCTAAATAGAGCGATCCAGCAAGATTTCCAGGATTTGTTGTCAAAAGGAAAACAAAGTGTAGGGCAGGCCATGCCATTCAGATCAGGGTTTCTCCACCTCAGCACTACTGAGATTGAAGCCAGAAGTACTATGTGCCCTGCGGGATGTTTACAGCATCCTTGGCCTCACTGTGCGCCCCCCTCCCCAAATGCCAGTTGCATCTCTCCGTATGCAACCAAAAATATTTCCAGACACTGCCAAGTGTCCCAGAGGAGAGCAAGATCAACCTTAGAAGAGAGCCACTGATTTAAGTAATAAAAAACAAAATCCTATATAGTCCTAGATATATTTACATGTGTGAGTAAGGACCTAGAAATAGTCTTGAAAGAATACATACACACTGACAGCAGAGATATTTCTGGGAGAAGGGTCTGGGGCAGGAAGGAAATTTTCTTTCTAGATTTTCTGTACAGTTTGAACTCTAATGATAATATTTTCATGGATGGCTTGTGTACTTAAAAAAAAAAGTACAATAGTGACTTCCCTGGCGGTCCAGTGATTAAAGACTCTGTGATCCCAAGGCAGGGGTCATGGGTTTCATTCCTGGTTGGGGAACTAAGATCCGGCATGCCTCACAGTGCAGTCAAAAAAACAAAGTAAAAGTGCAAAGCGGTCCCCATATAGTGCCACAAGCATGGCTTCTAAGGGCAGAGAGGATGACTTACGATTCTTCTCCTCCTTCAGTGACTGGCCGTTCTTGTACCAGGTGACTTGAGGAACAGGGTACCCATTCCTTCCGATGCAGGTGGCAACCTAGGGAGGGCAGGGCATGAGGCTTCCTGACTCTGACCTGGCCGAGCTGCACCCTCTTAGGTCCTGCCAACCCGCCTCCCCCAACCCCGGGCCACCCCAGCAGACCTCACCTCCACAGGCTCCTCACTGTTCACAGAAATGCCCAAGGTATTGACCTGGATGCTTGGCTCCTCCGGAGCTTCTACAAGGGAGAGAGGTGGGGAGGCGTGTGGGACCACTGCTTTCCGGGCCCCACGCTGCCCACAGGATGCGGACGGGGCACTCACTGTAGACGCGGAGCCGGATGCGGTGCTCCTGAGCCCGGCGCCTGCCCTGGCACGTGAAGATGCGGTCATCGTGGGGCGTGATGCCGGTCAAGGCCAGAGCAGTCCCTTTGTCTTGGAGGCTGAGCCGGTTTTGGTACTCCCCAGGCTCGCTCTGGCCCTGACCCTGACGCACACGGAAGATGAGCGTCCGCTTCTCCTTGTGGACCTGAGCGGAGGCAGCAGGGCGGGGATGAGGGTCCTGGGGCTACACGAAGGGCAGGGCCTCCCGCCCCTGCTGCCCTCTGCTGCACTCACAGAAAACCAGTCCACGTGGCTGAGGTTGCCCTGGGCGTGGGAGAGGCCACACTTCAGAAGGGCCGTGTGGCCCACTTCCACCTCCACCAGCTCGGGCTCCGGCTGCTCGGCCTCTCCGGGCACACCTGGGGGGAGGCGGGAGGGGGCACCAGCAGCTGTGTGAGCTCCGGCTGCTCACCATGCCCTTCGCTCACACCCGCTTGCAGCAGCTGTTCTCTCTATCACTTCAGTGAGGGTCCAAAGGGCACGCTGTCCTCTCTAAGCCTCAACCACTCTGTATAACTCCCCCCAACCCCGGGCCAGCCCTCTCCTGGCTCAAGGGAGCTGGGGCTGGACATTTCTGGTCATTGGAGCAGAGACCCTGAGCATCAGGAACTCTCAGATGAGGCTGGCAGAGGGTGGGCCAAGAGGAAGGCCCCTTTCCTTCCAGGCCCCCTCCTCCCTGGGTGAGCTCAGAGTGCGGGAATGCAAGGCATGTGCCAGGCCGGGGCACACAGGCCCTTTTTGTCCCCACACCCAGGGTAAGACATCACTACTCTACCCTTTGCCCCCCAACGCTCCCCCCATAAGACCCCAATGGGCAACCCTGGTCAGGAGACCCCTATCTCCTACTCTGTAAGCAGCACCTCTGTGAATTCTCACACTCTCAGGGGACCCCATCCTGGGAGTCTTGTGAGTACAGGAGCGGTCAGAGTCATGGAGGGGCCAGAATCTCTCCCTGGGGTCGGGGGCAGGGGTCAGGGCAAGGGCCAGGCAGTGGGCAAGAGTGACGTCAGCGGTGCCAGTGTCCTGCCCGCCCCACAAGGAGGTGATGTCACTCCATACCATCTGGTTGGACTTGGGTGCCTGGGTGGTTGCCCTGAGCTGGCTCCCAGACAATGAGGGCAGATGGGGTGGTCTTCAGCCCAGAGCAAAAAGCCTCAGCTCCCTGACTCAGTTTCCCCAGTGCTAGAAGAAAGGGGCAGGGTGGGGCTGGACCTCCTGCAGCACTGGTGCCCCACGCAACCCTTTCCCCTACATCCCCCAGAAAGGCTTTGAAGGCAGCAACCGAGAGTACCCCAGGGATACTGTTGGCATGGGCACGAAGCCATGGCATTGGGTATTGCCCAGACCTCCCTTTCCCCAGCCAGCCAGCGGCTAGAACCCGGGAAACGGAGCCAAGAGAAAGGAGCGACACCACTGCGGCCATACAAGGGCAGGGTGAGCCCGGGAGCGCCCGGCTCCTGGGCGGTTTCAGAGAAAAACTCCGAGGTGCAGGGGCCCTTTTCCCACCTGAATCTGGTCCCATTCCGGGAGGTGTAACAAGTCTGGGGCGCTCGGACTCTGGGACTCGGCGATCCCCATTCCCTGCCACCTGTGACCCCGTCACCCGGGTAGGCGCGAGGGGACCCACACGGCGCTCCAGCCTTTGCCAACGCCCTGGTAGGGCGGGAGCCGCCGTACCTCCCCCTCTCGCCCACCTCTGGCCTGGCTCGAAGCCCAGGCGGGAGAGGGAGGGGTCGGTGCACCCCTCCAGCTAAGAAAGCTGCGTTTTCCAGCAACAGGCGGGCGCGGAATTCAGGATTTGGGGATGCGCTGTAGCTGCCCCTCCCGCCAAGGCTCCAATCACGCTCCCCGCCCCCCGCCCCCGAGAAAGCACCTGAAGAAAAGCTCTCCCCAGCGCCCGAAGGGACTCTGCTCCACCCCTTCCCGCTCCAGGCAGAAGCCCCCTCCCCGTCTCCCCAGTCCTGCTCCCGGGATGGTCTGGAACAGAGACCGCAAACTGGCCACAAAGAAGAGTTGTAGGCGCGCAAGGCGCCGGGTGCCGGGGACCCCGAGAGGAGGAACGCACGCCGTCGCGCAAAGCCCCGGCCCCCGCCGGGATGCGGGCTCTGCTCCCGGGCACGCTCCGCCGAAGACCGCCCGGCCGGGCCGTTCGGGGTGCGGGGCCCCAGCGAGCTCACTCACCCGCGGCGCGGCGAGAGCAGCAGCAGACGGCTAGCAGGAAAGCACAGATGAGCCCGGACCGTCCCATGCTTCCCGGCCGGAGGGCTAGAGCCAAGTGAGGGAGCTCGCGGCCGCCGGGGGCTGACGTCAGGGGGGCGGGGGAGGGGGCCCGGGCGCCAGGGCCGCCCGCCACGCCCCGCGTAGCCCACCCCCCGCCCGGCGCGCCGCAGCCCTAGGGGGCGGGCCCGGCGCCGAGATGCCCGGAGCTGCGCCGCGGAATAGCGCGGCGCGGGGTTAGGCCGGAGCCTTCCTCCCAGCCCCCCGCTAGGGAGCGGACAGGGGGCGGTGACAGGTGTCTCCGAGGCGGCTGCGGGGAGAAGCTGGCCCGGATGCTGGAGTCCCGCCGGGTCAGACCCCGCTTCGCCCCAGCCAGCCCGTGTAGCCCTGGGGGACCTCCCGGCGGAGGAGCCACTGGCAGGTCGTTGGTGTCCTTGATGGGGGCCTCGCTCCCTTTTAAGCTCTTCTGCCCGCCGCCTCCTCCACTCCCCCGGACCTCTGCCCCAGAGAAATAGGGCTTCCCAAAACGGTTGCACCACTGCGGCGGCCGCCGGCCTGGCACTGCCCCCAAGCCTTGCAGTCCTGGCTGCTTTGAGGGAAGAACCCTGGGCCCGGGGCCCACAGACCCAGAGGCATCTGTACTGGGGAGACGGTGCGCTAAGGGTGGTCCCTTCACCCTCAGCTCCTGCAAGTCTCAGACCAGAGGAAGCCGGGAGGGGCTGAATTCACAGGCCCGAAGTTGTCACACTTGTCCCACCCAGCCCGGATCTTGAGATTTCTGCTTCTGCTGGCTTCACTCACTGAACCCAGCCCGGGACTCAGTTTCCCCTGAATGAAGAAAGAAGAGGGAAAATGAGTTAATGGGCACAAGGTCTCCAGCTTGCTCCCCCCGCCCTTACCTGTTGCTGTTGCTGAGGGTTGAAGAGACCCCCTGTGTCAGGGCTCTGGCCCCCCAGCAGCTGAGGGTGGGGGTTTTGGAGGAGGAATCAGAATTGACTCCAGGCTGCCCTGCCCAAGTGGAATCTGTCCCAGCGAGGCAAGGGGACCTGCATCTCCCCTTATTCCCAATGCCTGGGTCTTTGGGCCCCTTGAACCTGAACTGAGGCTCTGGGGAGTGAGACTGATTCTTATCTCATGGAGACAGACCCCCAGCTCCCTGACCCTGGGAAAGGGTTCCACATCAGCTGGGACCCATCTAACTGGGAAGGTCTAAAGGGGGCCTGGATTTGGGATAGAGTCCTGTCCTAGGCAGGGCAGCCTTGCCGCTGGTTGGGGGAGGAGCAGGGTGAGGCAGCAAATGCCAGAGATGGGCAGGTGACTTAGAGGATGCTCCAGGACGGCGTTTTGATGACGCCGAGATGACTCTTGAGCCACATCAGCCCTCATCTTTCAGATCCTTGCTGATCCCCTCCTCCGTCTCCATTAATTTTCAGCCAGAGGCCATGCCAGGCAGGCCAAGCCAGGGGCCTGGAGCCCCGGGTGGGGGTGGGGGGTGAGAGTAGGATGGTGCTTCCTCATCCCCCAGAGTGAATGTATGGACTGGCCCAGGGCCCAGAATGGAATGGATGCATTTGTTTTTGTCTGCAGGGGCAGGAGTGGGAATGGCTGAAGGATGCTGTTTGCCCTGGCAAGCTCAGAGCTGGGCATGGTATTCTGCTTCCCTGCCCCCACCCCCCTTCCCTTCTCTTAACACCATTAACTAATCATTCTCCTCTCTCCAGCCTGAGAGCAAAGCCAGCTAACCACCAAGGACGGTCAGTTCAGAATCCTTCTTCCGTTGTGAGAAGAGTGAAGCTAGGAGGGGGTGGTGGAGCTGCCTCTGCGGTGAAAGAGAAGTGAGGGTAGAGCCCAGGGTGACCTCTGTGTCCCACATGTCCCCACCAAACTAGCACAGAGACTGTCCTTTAGGGAAGCCAGTAGCTTAGGGTGATCTGGGTTGCCAGGGAGTGGGTGGTAGAGGTCAGGGGGCAGACAACCTCGAGAAGGCTTCATGAGCAGGGCCCACTACGATTCTGAACCAAAGAGGTCAAGTCCTTGGAGAGGCTTCAGAGGGGACTGGAAGCAGAAGGAAGCAGAATGATGGCAGCACAGGGTGAAGGAGCAGGAGGCGGAGGGTATCTGAGATGGGGATCTCCGTGTCTCTGAGATGCCAAAAGCTAGAGTGTCCACAGCTGCAGGAAAGAGAGGAAGCAGATGGGGAAGAACTTTCAGCGAGGGAGGATGGAGGTCCAGCAGAAGGGGAGAGCCAAGGAGGCCACTGTGGGCTTTCCATCTGCAGACACTGTTGTGCCTGGACTCGGTGGAGGCAGCCTTGCCCAGATGCAGGCCAGGATCAGCAGAGCCCCAGACCAGAGCCCTAAGTTCCCAGCCTCATTTCTCTCCAGAAGGAATGGGTAGGAAGGCTGCCTTCTTCACTCCCATGGCAGACCCAGGGGGCGCAGAAGGCCCTTGGTGTGTCTCTTGGGCATAAATCTGACCACAGGTAGGGAAAGTGAGGCTGCGTGGGGTGGTGGCGTGGGGTGGTGGCCACGGTCTGAGTTCCTCAACCGCTGTCTCCAGGGTGAGTGGGGGCTTTCATTTCATTGTACGATGTGGGACCCTCCCACCCCCCATATGGAGCTGGAGGTAAAAAGACAAGGCTAGTCCGGCCCCGGGGGGCTAGTCCTGCTGGGGTGAGATTAAACCCAGGAGTCCTCTCTCATAGTGGGTACAGTGGTCTCCCACCCACCCTCTCCGGTGGAGGGGCCTTAACCAGGAGGATATGAGAAGGGCGGGCTGAGCAGATGAAGGAAGCTGATAAAGACAAGTTTACATCTGCAGTAAGAAGGAGCCATGGGGTGGAGCGGGTGGGCCAGCAATATTGGCAATGACTGAGGCTGGGGAATCCCCCCCTGCCGGCCTGGCCTAAAAATAGGGTTCAGTCTGAGTCTTTGGAGGGGAGGTAGAATTTTTTCCAGTGTCGGGGGGGGGTCTGAGCTGGGAGGAGGTTGTGCTTAGGGACTGAAGAAACGGGGTAGGAGGCGGGTGGGGGGCAGTTGCTGCTGAGGCAACCTCGGGCCAGGAAACCGGATACTGGGGGGCTGGGTGGGACGTGTTGGGGAAGAGATTGAATAGGGGGAAGCGGCCCCTGTCTTGGCCGGACGTGGTCTCACCCATGTCCTTCGCACCTGACTCCAGGCAGGAAGGAGCTGCGGCCTGGATTGAGCTGCGCCCCAGAAACGCCATGGAAGAGGAGGAGGGTGACTTGTGCTGGTGGTGGTGGGTGGGGCGGGGGGAGATGGGAGGGGCTATTTTTAAACTTGGAGAAACCGTCAGTGAGTTCATCTCCACCCTGAGTGCTGGAGGAGGCAAAGGCCCCATTGTACAGGGGTCCAGAGAAGAGGCGGGGGAGGGGAGGTGGTGGCACAATGACTGGGATTATATCAGAGCCGGCGGGGGAGAGGAGGGCGCGCGAGGGGGCGTCTCCATCACAGCTGGCCTACTGAACTCCGGGGTCGAACCAGGCTGGGGCTGGGACAGGGGGGTTTTCCCACTCTCACAGAAGCCCCCTCTTGGGGAGGTGGGATCTGTCTCTGGCATCCAGTGTCGCATCCTGGGGAGGGGGCTGTGGGTGGGATTCCCACAGCCTGGCTTTCCCAGGGACACTGCAGGGTCCGTTCCCAGGCTCCCAGCATTCCAGCGACTCCCCTGGGAGCTGCCGGCCTCTCCTCTCAGCCCCTTCCCTGCTAAGGGGGTTGGGGAGAGAGGGAAAAGAGGATGTGGCCGCAGAGGGACTCTTCCTGGGGATTAGGGACCCATAAACCAGAGGGAGGGTTCGCAGTGAGTGCGGGGTGCAGAGGGGGACCCTTTCCTCCCGTCCTAGTCTCCAGCCCTGTTGAGCCGTCCCTTGGGCCTGGACTATCCCCTCTAGTCCTCTCCGACCCCAGGGTCCTCTCCACGTGGGCTGGCCTCCAGTATGCAGGGCCTCAGCCCAGGGGATCCCAGGTCCTGCCCGGGGAAGGCGGGGCGTTCGCCGAGCTCGCCCCAATCCAAACATTACCATAAATGCTCAGGCTGCTGCAGGCCGGGGAGGGGCTGGGGCAGGGGACCTTGGGGGCTCTCCGGAAGCCCTGAATCCGGTCTCCAGGCCTTTCCCAGCGAGGGCTGGTGGAGGTGATTCAGTCTCTGCTTTGGGAAACGGAGGGGGAGCTGAGTTGCGGGTGGGAGTAGGGTGGAGTTTGGGCAGAGAGCCAGACGGCGTGGGGAGTCCCTGAGCACTGACTCCCAGGGCCCAGCGACCTCTGATGGAGGGGAGAGGAGGATGATCCAGCCAGGATTTCAGCCTCGGGCCGGGCTGGGGGCTCCTGTCAGCTGTGATAAAGGATTGTCTCGCTTCCGGTCCTGGGTCTCTGCTCTCTGGCCTCTGAGGACTCAAACGTCTTCCCACTTCTTCCTCCCATCCTAAATTTGGAGAACGGAGCGAGCGGGGGGCAGGGGGAAGGGCAAAGGGCCGGACGCTGGGAGCCTACATCTCTCCCCCTCGGGGAAGTTCACATCCGCTCCCCAAAATACCACCACCCAGGAGAAGGAGTGTCCCCAGAGAACTGTTTAAATTTTGACTTTGAGACGTCCCTGAGGAAGGGCTAGCTCGTTTGCCCGAGAGGAGCCTACAGGAAGCCTAGTGACCCCAGATTCTGCTCCACCCCTGGAGACACCCAGAGCTTTGAACAACTAGGGGAGCCCCAGACCAGGGGGGAGCTGTGTTCCACTGCACCCTGGCAGGACCTGTGGCCCCTTCTATAGTCGCCACAGCTGGCCTTGGAGGCTGCCAGAGAGGTGGGGGGAAGGGAACAGCAAGCTGGGGGGAGAGGGACACTGAACCCCCATCTCCCTGACCCACATCCCAGGGCCCCCGGCCTCAAGGGCCCTTGAAAAGTGGAGAGAACACAGGATTTGGAGTCAGAGAAAATCCCCAGACCAGGTCAGACTGAGCCTGTGTTCTTGCGGGCATCTTGCCTTCGTGTCCCAATCACACTGGAAAGAGCTAGTTCT